AACTAAATTATTCGACAGATTCTAAATGGTAAAGTTGTGTCACAATTTAGATGTTCTAGATGTATCTGGAATCACTTAATGAATTCATATACTGTCGACAAGATTACTCATTTTTAATCATTTATTACATCACATTTTAAATTCTGTTCACTAATTTGGCCTTTTTGACATAAAAGCAGATAAAAATCAATATAGGGCATAAAGAATTGTATTTTTAGATTAAAAATCATCATCTAAAAGTAAAAACTTAAACGAAATTAGAAACATTGTTATCGAAACATCTGTACATATGTTGTTTTGTTAATTACACCATGCAATTAGTATTTGCTGATGTTTTTAATATACGCATACATCGTATCTTTTTTATTATATACTTATAAATAAAATATTGAGAAATATTGATGAAATAAAATGCGTATTTTTATTTTCCGTATTTTCACTGTAAAAATTTATTTTTCACTATGCAAAGAAACATGTTTTCCGTATTTTCACTTGTAACTTGCCGGGCTACTTTCTTATAAACAAAATTTAAGGAAACGTTTTTTATATTATATCGTCAAAAAAGAGATAAATGTATATAATAAACAGAAAATTCAAGTTTTTTTTCTATAAATACAGGATTAATTTTCATCTTGTGGTATGAAAGTTATTGAATTTCACTTGTGGCTTCCGCCACTCATGAAATATTTATTAGCATACCTCTCTATGTAGTTTTAGTACGTCATGTATTCTTCTACTGTCAAGTCTTTTATTAAGCTATATTTTTTCTACTATCGAGTATATCTTTTTATTCAGATACTTTTTAATGTTTAAACAGTCTCTTTTATGTAGTGTATTTGTAAAGATTGACTATAATAAGTCATCTTCATTTTGGTCATTTTTACAGTCGCTTGCTTCGGTAATTAAATAGCTTAATATAAATTGTCGCTAATGTTTCTTAATTATAAGGCACAGTACCCGGGTCTGTGCTTTTCATATTTTACATGCAATACGCCCGATAAAGTGTGTAATTTATTAATAATTTGGTCATTTGAAAATGCAGTTTTCCGTACCGTAATGCACCACGGTTTGGGGTTACGGTTGTTACAGAATTTATAAAGGTAAAAAAATGGCTGCGCCCTTGAAGGTGAGAACCGTCGTAAGATTTACTTAGATCATTTATATGACACTTTATTGCCAAGACATTACATTTCATTTTAAAGAAACTTTATTTTATTTCGTTTCGAACAATTCCACTAGATCATAGTTCGAGAATAAAGAATTTTGCATAGAACTTTGACATTTTATCACATGTTTTCGCGATAGTAAATGTTTTAGTGAATAAGATATGCTTACAGTTTACACAAAAATTCTTTTGCTTCCAAATTCATGCTAACTTTCATGAGAATTCTGAAAATGTATTCAAAATTAACATGTTGTGGAGTGAACAAGTAAAGTAATTTATACACTGCAAACAATATGAACTAAAATTTTAAATAATGTCAAAAATTATATGCAAAAATAAGCCTTAGTGTGTTAGTCACGCCAGGGTCTTTCAAATAGAATGGTCTGGAGACGGGCCAATTTAACGAAAAAAGCTGTCTCGGTTGAGTCATGTGATTGGGTTATCTACCGACCGTGATCTGGCATAACACATCACCATTCAAAAATCAAATTATAAGATAATGTTTTGTTAAATCAATAAGAATAACTAAAAACTAACCCTGACTACATTATAATATTCACGTGTAGTCTATAGCCGGGCAAGCCAAAGCCCGGACCCGCTTCGCGGTGTCAAGGTAAAAATCTACTGCTCATATATGAAAATAGGTCCAAGTTTCATGAGCTTTTTTAAATTTATGCATTGTTTAATGACAAAATAAAAATTGATTTTACAGAGAAAAGATGTTATTAAATTGTATCATGTAAAAATATTATAATCTTTCACGATGTTATTTGCAAATATTTGATGTTTAATTTGATTCATTTTCAAAATGGCGACGTTTATCGGCAAATATTCTGAACAAGTAGTCTATGTTTTTCAACAAATATGGCTTTAAAAAACATTATTTTCTGAAATATTTATCATTTTTTCGCAAGTTTAAAGATTTTTAAATAACATCATGACATTAAATTTTTCATTTTTGCTCTTGTATTTTCTTCTTTATAACTCATTTATTATTATGTAAGTTAGTGTAATAACTTTACAGAAAATAGACCCCATTGGAAATAAGCTTTTAGCTTAATGGGCAATCCTAGGGTTACATAGAACATACTCATTAATTAATCTGATAATTATTTTTGTTGCATTTATGTGTGTGTTTTTATATATATACAAGTTGATTACTTGATATCTGTGATAAAATTGTATGTGTATATGTCTATCATCCCTTAATAAATCGATACGATACGATGCAGTTTTGTCAAAAATCTCAAATTAAACTTGCTTTTTTACTTCCCAAATTAGCAATTATTTTAGTGATAATTTTTCCAGAAATCAAGAGTGTAAGGCCTCTTCCCAATTAAGTGAGAAAAATCACTGCATACTTTATGTATTGTTGTATATGTTTTACAGGCACAATCTCTGGCCAGACTGTACACAAGTTTGAGACCATGTGTATGTGTGAACAGGTACATGTCCAGTAAAAGAGACAAACGAGATGACAAACCGCCTGCATGGGCTGCACGCCAAGTTCCAACCGGAAACACTTTCTATTCTATGCAACTTTCAAAAATGCAAAACAGAGAAATATGGGTAAAAGCTTAATATAATGATACATTGCCAAATTGAAAAAAAAAATGTTATTGTTTATAGTTGATAATAGCAGTCTGCAAAATTAGCAGTTGTCCTATTGCCCGAGACAACCATTTTTGGGTCTGGACAACCAATTTTTAAATGTTTACTTGCGCGATTGTCAAGTAAAAATTTGCAGAAAGTATTAATCAAAATGTCAAAGAATAGTGATAAATTGCAAGATATCAAATACAATTAGTGTGTTTACATTTATGACTGTTTCTCACTGAAGATAAGTTTGCAGATTTGATCAATAATTGCTTGGAGATGTTCTGATGAAAATATTCGGGCAACCTGTTTTTACTTAGGACAACCAGATTTTCTTGAATTACTTGCTCGAATGACAACAATTTTTAAATCCTAATTTCACATACTGTTATAGGAGTTATTCTGTATTTGTTCACTTTCATATGATCATTTTGTTATCTTTTAATTTTTGAAAGATTAACAATAGGAACTAATGCTGAAGGTGAAACTTACATCACAAAAGTTTCACAATGTTGTGCACAAGTGCAGGGCCCTCATTTCACAATTTTTGCACCTTTTCAATGAATATATATTTTCCCTAAATTAAAAAAAAATATTCCCCTAGAAATATTTAAAAAAAAAGTTGCCAAAAGCAGAAGACACTTGTTGACAGACAAAATTTCACTTTTTCTTAAACACAAAACATAACATGAAATTCACCAACCTGAGGGTCATAGCTCCAGTCCCCTATAAGGTACATGTAAATAGGGCCCTGATGTGAGCTTAAAAGTTCTTTATAATTTTACATGGGAACTATCCCTTTTAATGACACATAATTTTATTTTCAGAAAAGACGTATGAAGTATATAAATAGACCATGGGAGAAGATTGTGATTGATTACAAGAAACGTCAGGAGGATACAGCTGATAATCCTCCCGAGGATGCTCCATTACTACTCATGGTCAGACAAGTGTCAAATCTATGGGGAGTTCCTTATTACCTAAAAGATGTTCTTAAACGACTTGGTTTTAAAAAGGTAACATTACACAGCTCATCTTGAATAGCTGAATTATTTCCTACAGCTTACTTTATTAGTTAAGTAACAGATCGAAATATATTTCACTGAATGAGAATCAGGTGTAATATTTTCTAGCTACAAAGGTGGCATCTGATGTAAAGTTAAATATAATTTGTTCTTACATACATGTATGTAACAAGCAAATTTTCTATTTATTACATGCTTGTTTGTTGAGGGGTATTTACAAATAAACTGCATAAGCTCACCTACATAAGGTCACAAAATGTCAAAGACACAATGATTTGAATAATAATTCTATGGGATTTTTACATTTACGTTTCATTTCAACATAAATTGTGTAAATATTTGTCTACATACTGTATGATGGGTGCCAGGGATGTTAGATTGCTGCAGAGATGACAAACATATAAAATTTAGTAATCTACCATCACTAGTGCTGGAAATACAGTGTGATAAAATCACCTTAAAATTATCAAGATATTATTTACAATTATATAGCAAGCCTGCATAGCTCAATTCGTTAGAGCACGAGATTTGTTATCTTAACATTGTGGATTCGATTCCTGGGCTGGCCAACTACAATTACTAATCAGTCTTTTGGATGAGACTTTAAGACCATGTCCCGTGTATGAGTGCTTAAACACGAGTATAAATAAACTCAAATACACACACATAACAGTTATATTTCAGTTATCTACTTACATGTAGAATCATGTAATAATCATAAAAGCTGAGTTATTAGCAATCTCCCGTGACCAATTAAATCTACTGCTGTTTAACTATTCCAAAGATAAAGATGGAATGAAAAGTTGAATTTATATAGAAATTTCATGCCACAAACTAGTTTAATTATGGTTAGTTATAAACTGGTACCAGCTTGTGTCTAAATTATGTTTGGATCTTCTTTCAAAAAAGCCTTTAGTCCTGGCATACATTATGATGATACTTATTGTGGTATAAAATATGGTAAATCAAATAGTACAAATTGCTTTATATTTGACTAGGGGACACTATACTAGTAGTAGATTTATATAAGCATTTAGCACAAAGCAGACAATGTGTAGAGATAACATTTATACAAGACATTATTATTGTTAATGTCAAGAATGTTATGTCAACATCAAAATATGCTTCTTATCAGATTGCCGATGTTCTTTCTCTTGTGAATCATAGATTCGAAAGTGTGTCTTTAAGCTTATAGCTTCCTACACAATTGAACTAAAATAAATTCTGTATAAACCAAAATATTTGCTTCTTATTTCTTCCCTTCAATACAAAGAAGGGTTTATATTGGAAAGAATGCAGCCCTAATTATGCCACAAAATGACTTAATTTTATTTTATTTAGTACTTATTAAGTTGCAATAAAAGTGAAAACACTTGGACATGTTTATTGTTTGTTGAAAGCTCACTTTTTTCAGATTTTTACAATAAAAAACTACTCAAAGGATTTTTTAAAACTATTATTCTAGGTTTAATTTAAGCTCGATTGTGAAACAAGTTCTTGCAACTTATATAAATCACTTTCGAGTCCGCTTCCTGGAACCAACCGAGTACTGGTGTCATATGAAGGAGCATGCAGGTTGTGACCCGATGAGGGCTCTGGGTTGAAAGGAGAACTATTATTGTTGAATATGTTTTTTTTTTTTAACAAATTACAGTAAAGAACATATTCAAGAATAATAAAACAAATGTCATTTACTCTTATTACTGCCACACCCCAGTACTGTAAAATGTCATTTCTTAAATTTAGAACAAGTATATGTTTTTACTTTACAGTTATATTTACACTTAGCACCAAAATGATCTTGAATGTTAGCCTCTGTATATTCTGTGGACAAGTTCATCTAAAAAATTTAATTTTAATGATAAAAAATGGTTGTAATTTTTGTAATATACTCACCAAAATTTTTGAACACTGATGTTTGTATTATTTTTATATGATTATGGTCATGAAATACAAGTCAATAATGCATTTAATGGTGTGAAAATTTTGATTGTGGATTGTCTCTGAACTTTCTGTTCAGTATGTTTCGCAAAACTATTTTAATATCGCTGCCTCTAAATGACCAAATATTTTGTTTTTTTCTTCAGCAAAATCAGATTGTTATATTGAAGAACAAAACCTTGACATGTTCAGATTTGAGGAGAGTGAAGCACCTTGTGGAGATATTTCCGGTCACATTTCCTTATGGTATGCCCACATCAGAGGAAGATCTGGACCATTGTTACATCACAGATAATGGACAGTTTATAGTGAAGAAAAAACTTGAACTTGTCGACCAAATTGAAGATATTAAAATATCTGATAAACTGCCCGAAAATAAATATGAAATGAAACAAGAACATATAGACAGATGTTTGGAATATAGGAAAATGAGGTACCAGATAAGTCAGGAATATTTCCAGACAAAATACGTCTACGAGAAAAACCAGGACAAAAAGGAGCATCGCTACAAGGGTGATCAGAACATTGGATTTGATAAAATATGGCACTAATCTGTTCATAAGAGAACAAAGTTAAATAATTAAATTAAAATGCCCATGTTTTGTAGGTGCCAAGAGATTAAATTATCAAATAAAATTCCATAAATATTGAAAGTATGTTGCTCCTAACATATCAGAGACAGCATCTTGTGTGCAAGCTCTTGTCTGTTTTGGGTGTTTCAGTTTCACTAAAGCAACAGAAGTTATGTTCGAATTTTGCATACATTTTAGATTGTTATCAAGAGTTACTATGTATGTTAACATCAGCAATGTTCTAAAAATTAATGCAGGAAATGTTTCCTGCAAGTGACATGTAGTTCCATGTACAGTTAATATTTTTAACAATAAATTCAAATATAAAAGCAATCGGTTTCTTTCAAATATTGTATAGCAATATCATGAGCATGACTGCACCAGTCCTGCTCTTGTGTTTCCATTGTTAATATGATACCATTTACGTCATGTTGTAACTGTTGGTAACATCTTTTGATGATTCTAAATGCTTTATCTTCAAATCAAGTTTGGAAATCTGATGAAATATAAGTTGTTCAGTTGGGAAGCTGTATATGTAGGCTTAATATTCTGCAATTTTTGTTAAAACAAAGGAGTCGTGAAATTCTTCGTACCTCAATTCTGCAGCAAGAACAGTCCGGCAATGAAGTGTTATATTTCTGGTATTTTACGCCCATTGTTCAAATTACATGATTCATATTATGATTTCTTTTTAACATTTGAGTTTGTTGACATCCTATTTCAAAGTGAATTTGATAAATATAATACATTTTTGTATTATCTTATATGACATGCTTACATTTGAGTAAAAACCAAACTAAGAACCAAGATATTGATCTCTGTTATGAAGATGTTAGTCTGTTCAACACACTTTTTCATCCTATTTCAAACTAAACTTGAACTGTATTGTGTATTGTCATTTTGACTTTAATTTCTTATGAGTTCTATACAAGGTTTAGTGACAGAATGTGAAATTAAACGTTTGGTCTCATGGTCATCCACTGTGTAGCAGAATTAAAATTTCTACAGAAAAAAGTACAAATTAGATTGCAGGATGGTTGTTGGCTCATTTAGTGAACTGCGAACAATGAGTAACAATAAATCTTTGATGCTTTTCATTCTGTTCCTCTGTGGTTAAAACAACAATGAGGATAACAGTTATGCAGCCATTAGTTAGGATGTCCTTGCCTGCTCTAGCCTGTATTATGTATAGGATCTGACAGTAAAATTGGCATAAATGAGTCGCATACTAATAATTCATTGAAAAATTAATGTCACTTTATCCTCTAAGTAACTAAGAACATCAATGATTGGAACCTTTGTTGATGTTATTGTCTTCTATCATACAACTAATGTTATCTGCCATGCTTACATTTTGGTCATCATACAGTTTCCTATTAAGTCCTTGATATAAAAGCTGCCAATGTGAAGGGTTGTAGTTCTGACATGGTTACATTGATCATCCTTATGAAGATTTTTGTCTTGTTTTCATGCTGATTAACACTTTGGTCATATCTGGGTCGTAGCCCCATCCACCTAACAGGCTTTTCTGGATAGTTAACCAGTAATTGCTTAAGGCCTCAACAGACGGTAGTATTTAGTTGTACAACACTAATTAGAGATAAAGATGTACAATTCTCAAAGCAATACAACACTTGCATTCAGACGGTAATTCTGTATTGTAGGAATCATCTCAGGTTTCCCTTTAAAATAAAGTTCCCTCCCAATTGATCCCACACATAGTTTACTTTACTCACTAAACAATTTTTTTCTCCATGAGTAATGATTAAAACACCTCCATTTTTAAAAAAAAAAATTGTGGAATTTTCTTTTTAATGAGCAGCCTGACCGAGACTCAAACCTGGGACCCTCGGAATACCGTACTGCGGCTCTACTGACTGAGATATCCGGCCGCCTACAAACTACCTCCACTGATTAGAGAACAGTTCAATACCGTGACATAATCATTTTCGGAACAATTTGGGATTCAAACATACCACAACTTTGGGTCTCCTGAAGAGTTTTTCAACATCATTTTTTGCTCCCCTTACTACTATGTTTACCTTTAAGCCCTAATTGTTCTGGAATTCATTACACTCATTATCAGGAGATAATTTGGTAATCTGTTACTTGTCACTGTGGGAGGTCTGTAGAAATCTGTATGACAAGATTTTCAAAATAGAACATGTCCTATCCCTTACATCTAGACTTAAAGTTAAAGAATTCAAGAAATACATGTAGCCTTCACACATTAAGATTTGCGTGTACATCTTAGTTTTAATAGGTGTTGTACTTCAAAATCCTACCGTCTGTTGAGGCCTTTAATTCTCCCCAAGATGAAAAGCCCTTCAATTTTACTTTTATTTCAAAATTTCAGTGATGACAAAACCCAAATGACCTTTAAAGACTCGGGGTAAAAAATCAATTTTTTAAAAGGGAAAATTCCCCCTTGCCACGGGATTGAACGGGTTTTAAAACCCCCCTTGATTATAACTCCAAGGGTAAACCTTTTTGGGAGCTAAGTGGGGAAAATATTTTGTTATGGAGATAATTCAGAAATTGGCTGAATAAGATAAAAATAGAAGAAAAAGTGATTTGCAGAAAAAGAAAATCATTTTATATGTGTTTAAAGCTTTCAAAAATCATGTACATGATAACTTACATTTTGGGAAATTTAAAATTTTAGATAAATTTGCAAGGGGTTTTGAAAAAAAGTGATACTATTTAATCGAGAAAAGTTTCCTAGAAATTAAATTTCTTGAATTTACTCAAACAATAACAATTTATACTACATGTAATGAAAAAAAAAAAAACAACAACAACTTGTATAATTCTATGAATTTTATTGCTAACACAACAATTCAAGTTTTGAGTCAAAAAATCAAATTGTTACATTTTAATTTATTATAACATTTAACCTGTTGATTTCATAACCTTATGATAACTTACTGGAAAATAGAGAAATTTACGAGAAATAAAAAAAATGGTAAATTTATTGACTTTTTAATCAGGCCAAGAAGTTTCTGCTAAATTCAAATTAATTAAAAATGAGTGAAATAATTTTCACTTGAAAATTGTGTAATTAAAAAAAAAAAAATAACAAAACAACAATTGCTGTCAGTGTATGATACAAGTATATGACCAACATTTTGCCTTGAATCACCCAGTTCTTCCATCATCTTGTCTATTAAATGGGGACAGTAGCGTAAATATCAGTAAACATTGGACATTATCCTGGAATATCCCTAATTTTAGATTTTCTCTTAAATTTATTTTCAAGTTTATGAAGCTTGTTTTTGGTTACTTTAATTTGTTTGTATTGTTAAGATATTACAGAATTATACTAGATTTTTACAACACAAGAGACACATGTTTTATTCATCATATTATAGCTTGCGTAAGTTGTGTACACAGGTATTACAAGTAATATGTATCTTTTCAACATGACAATTCCTCATTTATGATTAAATCATGATCTTTTGAATTTATAAAAGTTTTAACACACATACCTATATGTAAATGTACACTTGGGGCTCAAAGGGAAACTACTCTATGGGTAAATAGTTGCCTAATGAAGGACATCATATAGTATTCCTATCAAGTCCTTGATATAAAAGCTGCCAATGTGAAGGGTTGTAGTTCTTAAATGATGAATGTCATCATCATTTGGTGTACTAGAAATGTTATTTCAAAAATAAAAAAGAAAAAAAACATTAAGGACAACTCAAACAGTTTTGCAATTCTTCATGTTATCATACTCTCACAGATCATTCAAATATTTGACATAAGTGTACCTAAAACAGACCTGGTTACTGCTTTAAACAGGTTGATAGAAAATTAATGTGGAGATAAGAAAAAATAATCTTAAGGTTGGAAGGACAAATACTTGTATCATACTACATATAGCAATTTGTATAGAACTGAATTATCATCACTAAATATTGCAATTTGTATAGAACTGAATTATCATCACTAAATATTGCAATTTGTATAGAACTGAATTATCATCACTAAATATTGCCATCAATATAGAACTGAATTATCACTAAATATTGCAATCTGTATAGAACTGAATTATTATCACTACATATAGCAATCCGTATAGAACTGAATTATCATCACTAAATATTGCAATCCGTATAGAACTGAATTATCATCACTAAATATTGCAATCCGTATAGAACTGAATTATCATCACTAAATATTGCAATCCGTATAGAACTGAATTATCATCACTAAATATTGCAATTTGTATAGAACTGAATTATCATCACTAAATATTGCAATCCGTATAGAACTGAATTATCATCACTAAATATTGCAATCCGTATAGAACTGAATTATCATCACTAAATATTGCAATCCGTATAGAAATTATCATTACTACATATTTTGTATTATGTAGAACTGAATTATCATTACTTCATACCCATACTTTATATTATATAGAACTGTATTATCATTACTACAGTCATACTGTTTATATGTAGAACTGTATGAATCATTAACAAGACAGAGAATACAATCTCACCAGGAGAAGATAACTCTTGCAGAGGATATATTTTACAGCAAAAACAATGTTTAAATAAAACAAAAACACTATAACAATATTTACATATAATGACAAAACATCTCCCAAATATTAAGCTTTTATTTACCATTAATAATCTGAATCGAGGAAATTGTAACACCAATTTTTCCTATCTCCAAAGGCAAACATGTCAGAGGAAGAACAATAAGAACATATTGGTGAATGCTTAACAAATATAACATTTTTTTTACAGAATGTAATTCAAAATTTCATATTTGGCCATAAGGCTCCAAATGATGTCAAGGTCATAAATTATGCAACATTAAGAAAGATGTGATAATATTTAGGAGATGTTTTTATAAAATAATAAAAACAAATCATATAACAGGCATACATTGGTGTCTTATTATCATAAGTAAATGAAAGCCCTTGCTTTTATAATATGGTAGTAAATATATAATAAAAACATGAAATTACATGGAATAAAATCTCTACCATCACTATATAATATATATATAGTGCAGGATGGTAATCAAATTACAAACATGAACAAAAGATGGTAGGAGATCAAACATGGGCTATAATAAATTACAACATATATAATGTCATTACAATTTTACCCTGCTTAATTCTTGTAATGGACTGTTCCTACTTGGAACAGTTCATTAATGATCTCAAAATACTAAAATTAAGCAGTCAACATTAAAATATTTGATCTTTTGGTAAGGTCTTGTACCCAGGCCTGGATTTATACCAGTTGCAATCACTTTATAACAGGTCGTGTAGCTTGGCCTAGATTTACACCAGTTGCAGTCAACATTATATTAGGTCATGTACCCGGGCCTGGATTTATACCAGTTGCAGTCAACATTATAACAGGTCATGTAGCTTGGCCTAGATTTACACCAGTTATAGTCAACATTATAACAGGTCATGTAACCAGGCCTGGATATATACCAGTTACAGTCAACTTTATAACAGGTCATGTAGTCAGGTCTGGATTTATACCAGTTACAGTCAACATTATAACAGGTCATGTAGCTTGGCCTAGATTTATACCAGTTACAGTCAACTTTATAACAGGTCGTATAACCAGACCTGGATTTACACCAGTTACAGTCAACATTAAAACAGGTCATGTAACCAGGTCTGGATTTATACCAGTTACAGTCAACTTTATAACAGGTCATGTAGCCAGGCCTGGATTTATACCAGTTGCAGTCAACTTTATAACAGGTCATGTAGCCAGGCCTGGATTTACACCAGTTTCAGTCAACATTATATTAGGTCATGTACCAAGGCCTTGATTTATACCAGTTGCAGTCAGCATTATAACAGGTCATGTAGCCAGGCCTGGATTTATACCAGTTGCAGTCAACATTATATTAGGTCATGCAGCCAGGTCTGGATTTATACCAGTTGCAGTCAGCATTATAACAGGTCATGCAGTCAGCCTGGATTTATACCAGTTGCAGTCAGCATTATAACAGGTCATGTATCCAGGCCTGGATTTATACCAGTTGCAGTCAGCATTTTAACAGGTTATGCAGTCAGGCATGGATTTATACCAGTTGCAGTCAACTTTATAACAGGTCATGCAGCCAGGCCTGGATTTATACCAGTTGCAGACACTTTTATAACAGGTCATGTAGTCAGGCCTGGATTTATACCAGTTGCAGTCAGCATTATATTAGGTCATGTACCCAGGCCTGGATTTATACCACTTTCAGTCAGCATTATAACAGGTCATGTACCCAGGCCTTGATTTACACCAGTGGCAGTCAGCTTTATTACAGGTCATGTAGTCAGGCCTGGATTTATACCAGTTGCAGTCAGCATTATATAAGGTCATGTACCCAGGCCTGGATTTATACACTTTCAGTCAGCATTATAACAGGTCATGTAGCCAGGCCTGGATTTATACCAGTTGCAGTCAGCATTATAACAGGTCATGTACCCAGGCCTGGATTTATACCAGTTGCAGTCAGCATTATAACAGGTTATGCAGTCAGGCATGGATTTATACCAGTTGCAGTCAGCTTTATAACAGGTCATGTAGTCAGGCCTGGATTTATACACCAGTTGCAGTCAGCATTATATAAGGTCATGTACCCAGGCCTTGGATTTTAAACCACTTTCAGTCAGCATTATAACAGGTCATGTAGCCAGGCCTGGATTTATACCAGTTGCAGTCAGCATTATAACAGGTCATGTACCCAGGCCTGGATTTATACCAGTTGCAGTCAGCATTATAAAAGGTCATGTACTCAGGCCTGGATTTATACCAGTTACAGTCAGCATTATAACAGGTCATGTAGCTTGGCCTGGATTTATACCAGTTGCAGTCAACATTATAACGGGTCATGTAGCTTGGCCTGGATTTATACCAGTTGCAGTCAACATTATAACAGGTCATGTAGCCAGGCCTGGATTTATACCAGTTGCAGTCAACTTTATAACAGGTCATGCAGCCAGGCCTGGATTTACACCAGTTTCAGTCAACTGTATAACAGGTCATGTCGCCAGGCCTGGATTTATACCACTTTCAGTCAGCATTATAACAGGTCATGTAGCCAGACCTGGATTTATACCAGTTGCAGTCAACTTTATAACAGGTCATGTAGCCTGGCCTGGATTTATACCAGTTGCAGTCAACTTTTTACAGGTCATGCAGCTAGGCCTGGATTTATACAAGTTAAAGTCAATATTACATTAGGTCTTGTAGCCAGGCCTAGATTTATATCAGTTGCAGTCAACATTAGATTAAGTCATGTAGCCAGGCCTGGATTTATATCAGTTGCAGTCAACATTATGTTAAGTCACGTAGCCAGGCCTGGATTTACACCAGTTGCAGTCAACATTATTACAGGTCATGCAGCCAGGCCTAGATTTATACCAGTTGCTGTCAACATTTTAACAGGTCATGTAGTCAGGTCTGGATTTATACTAGTTCCAGTCAACATTATAATAGGTCATGTAGCCAGGCCTGGATTTATACCAGTTGCAGTCAACATTATATTAGGTCATTCAGCCAGGCCTGGATTTATACCAGCTGCAGTCAACATTATATAACAGGTTATGTAGCCAGGCCTGGATTAATATCAGTTACAGTCAACTTTATAACAGGTCATGTAGCTTCTCCTAGATTTACACCAGATGCAGTCAACATTATAGTAGGTCATGCAGCCAGGCCTGGATTTATACCAGTTGCTGTCAACATTATAACAGGTCATGTAGTCAGGTCTGGATTTATACTAGTTCCTGTCATTATTGTAACAGGTCATGTAGTCAGGTCTGGATTTATACTAGTTCCTGTCATTATTGCAACAGGTCATGTCGCCAGGCCTGGATTTATACTAGTTCCTGTCATTATTGAAACAGGTCATGCAGCCAGGCCAAGATTTACACCAGTTGCAGTCAGCATTATATTAAGTAAATGGCCAGGTCTGGATTTATACATTTGCAGTCAATATTATATTAGGTCATGTAGCCAGGCCTAGATTTATACCAGTTGCAGTCAACATTATATTAAGTCAATGGCCAGGTCTTGATTTATACATTTGCAGTCAATATTATATTAGGTCATGCAGCCAGGCCTAGATTTATACCAGTTGCAGTCAACATTATATTAAGTCAATGGCCAGGTCTGGATTTATACATTTGCAGTCAATATTATATTAGGTCATGTAGCCAGGCCTGGATATATACCAATTACAGTCAGCATTATTACAGGTCATGTAGCCAGGGCTGGATATATAACAAATACAGTCAACATTATATTAGGTCATGTAGCTTGGCCTGGATATATACCAGTTACAGTCAACATTTACCCTGACTGTAAGGTCATGTATCCCGGCCTGTTTTTTTTACCAGTTGCATAGGCAAGTCATTATCGCCATTTATGTTTATAGTCATACAATATGGGGAGGACTGTTGCATCTTAAAGTTAAATATAAACATTAATCTCAAATAAAAATAACTTTTTTTTACAATATTGCTAAGCATATAAAATTGTATATCACTCTTTGTAAAATATAATAACAATTACATATTTATCAATTAGCATAAAGTATAGTCATTTACTTTTTGTGAAAAATTAATGTTTCCTTTGAACAAAGAAAAAATATTTAAGTTTCTGATATAATATTACCTTGTGAATACATGTCTACAAAAAAATCTCAAACTTCAATGAAACATATGAAATATATTCTTTCTGATATAATATTCCCTCGTGAATACCCGGTATACAAAAAACATCTTAATGAAAAATATGAAATATATTCTACATTCACTCAAAATAATAATGTAAACATCCTGTATGATCAGTATTAGAGAATATGTATGATTTAGGTAGCTATATTTGACAAGATTTGTGGATTTAGCACAAAGAACTTTAAAGCCTGAGGTTATACCAATGAGGTCAGTGGCAAGAAATTATTCAACTAGAGACATATAATTATGTTGATCAACCAGCAAAACTTAAAATAAAAACTTCAAGCAAATGCAGCAAGATATAAACAATTCATGAGAAAGAATTTTCAAAATATTTATATTAAAGTAACTCCACTGAGGTACAAAAGTCTAAAAAAAAAATTGAATTTCTTACATAGATCATCTGAGGAACTTAAAACAGAAAGATTATGCAAATGACAATTTAAAGATATTATCTAAAATAAGTTGAAAATCATATTTTTGTGTTATTCTTTACCTAATTTCAGTGAGGTGTTGCAAAGCTTTTCAATCTTGAGCTATTTTCACAATTAGATGATTTTTTTGGTATAACAGAGAGTGACTGATCTGAAATTTTTACACTAAAGTTATTGGACTAAACCTGCATCAAGTGGAACATAAATCTTGTAAAATTATTTCCAGTTCAGACTGTCATGTCAAAAATCTTGGTGGAGTCCCTTTAAAATCCCAATAGTCTCAAATTTTATCTCTTAAAATTGACTCGCTTGATTCAAACAGTTAAGTACATTGTCACTTATGGTTTCCCTTAAGGGCACAACTGAACTTAACAGCATGGATTTTTTTTAAAATTTACTTCATAATAGGCTTTTTCTCAATTTATCTTTCACCAATAATATTGAAATTGTAATTTCTTGCAACATAAAAAAAGGTAATAAAATCATTGTTATTTCAGGCTAAAATCTTCTGAAGACTGAAGTTTACTGGTACAACGTTTCCAGTCCAATTGATAAATGACCTTAGTAGTAATGCTGAATTTTTTATCCAATTATACAGAGAAATCAGTTAAAAGTAAATTTTACAGTTATAAAATGCCTAGTTATTGTTATTATAATTGTATTTGGTTGTTTTGTATTTTCAGTAAAATATCAAGAAAACATAATATACATATGCCTAAAGATCAATTGTATATTTGTTTTAATAAATATATGTATCATGGAGAAAAACAGCATTTCATACATAATTAAATTTAACTCGTTTTACTGGCTGGTGAGCTTTTCTTCTGGCTTTGGATTCCAATAAAAATCCAATAGCCTTTTCTAAACTGTCAGCTTGGGCAGGCTTAACTCTACTGTTACTGGACACAACATTGTTTTGTACAGGACTGGCCTCACCCATGGGCGCCATGTTACTAACATCTGGTTCAAGGGGATTACTTCTGTTCTTTAGTCCTGCAGTAACATCCATCATAGAACTATCATTACTGACTGGCAAGCTGTTCATTTCAAGTCCATCATAATCTGTATCACTGTAACAAAAACTAGAATTCTGAGCACCAGTCTGGTTATCCTCATTCCAAGGTGAAAGTAGAGTAGCAGAGTTACTAGATTCTTCTGAACTCTGGGCAATATCCGCCAGAGTCTCTATTTTCTTACCAGTACTTGATTTACGAACGTTAGCATCTACCATACTTTCACGACGACTCTCTGATTCCTCTTGTATTGTTTCAGGGATATCTTTTGTGCATCCCATACTGACAGGAGCTGGTCTATATGAACTGAGAACTTCAGATGCAATACTGCTAACACTATTTTTCTGTTCAGTGTTTGCACTGTTTGACACCTCAACCAGATTGCTCATAGTAAAAGACTTCTTTAAGCTTTCCAAAGATCGCCTGTGATTTTTCCTGCGTGACAATCTCCGATCTGAAAAAGACATTTGATAGAAACAAATTGCCAAATAAATATTTTAACACATTATTGAAAACATGTTCAAAAATTATACAATTAATTTGATCAAAATATCTGAAGATTCATTAATTATAAGCATATCATTATAGTCAAACTTTACCACAGCATGCCTTTACATTTATCTTAATTTCTTTAAAACTTAATGTTTGATCAAAGTTAATTTATAATCTTCCCAAAAGTCAAAAGCTATGGACAAGAATAGTTGACCTCTGTACATGACCTTGACCTTGGAGGTACAAACCTGGATGTTTCACTCTACATATTGTGAAAATAAGGTGATAATTTATGCCATGTGATTTTTTTAACCTTTTAATAAGTCAATAAGTAATGCAGCTCATATCAAATCTGCACTTTGTAACAATTGACCCTTAGTTGTCACCTTGACCTTTGGGACAGAAACCTCATTGCTGCACTCTGTGTATCATCCCATAATACATGTTACTAAGCTTTCATACATGTATACGCCAAATTATTTTGCAATCTTTTAGCAGTTTAAAATGCATTCAAAGCAGACATGAAAATGTTATGGATGGACTTGCAGTTTGAATGGGATATGGGGTCATTTCTTTTACATTCTTTTGTTTAATGGTATTTTCTTTTTTTTTTTAAAGGGAACCATATGGTCCCTTAACCTACTGTTACCAAATTCTATTGCCTTGTTCACTTGTTTTGTTTACGGTAAGGTGGCATCCTATTTATTTTAAATAGCCAGCCAAGGCAGATTGAGGCTATTCCTATAATCCGATTCCAACTTTACAACAATAGAGTTGTATAAAGAAATTACAAAGTACAGCGTAGAATTTGGTGATGAAACTAAGAAATTGTGTTTAATGTTTGCAGAATAGGTTCAGTTTCATCTAGATTGTGAATATTTAAACATTTCTAAAAGTATGAATACATTGTATAAGTTTGATTTTTTTGAATATACATCTTACATATCTGAAAGTATGCCATTTTAAGTAAACAAAATTAAAACATGCAGATATATTTCTTAAGAAAGATCAATACAAGATATATGTGTCACTGAAACCTTGAGATGTTACCTCCATTATTGCTTTACTGAGTAGAAACAAGTGCATACACATGTATATAGTTAGAGTATAAGGGTTGACAAGCAGGCAGGCAAGAAATAGAGTTTCAAAATGTGTACATTAAAGAGGCAATATGTTCATGAAAATCATTAAGGAACATACTATTTCCCTTGATACTCATGCATCTTATCAAGTTTCAATCCAAAAGCAGGAGGCTTAACTAACTAGCCAAGACCAGAACTTAAACAGTAACAGGAAATGAATACATTGAATTATAACACAATCAGATAAAGCTCATCGGTTTTTATAACAATTGCAATACATATTTGGTCGTGTCTTGGAGTTAGTTTAGTGGGCAATTTTTCCTGGATATCTAAACAGTAATTACAAATTTCTTTGTAAAAGAAACCAACATGACATCTGAACCAGCAGTGACCATTAGATCCATTATCCGAGATCAACTATCATGGAGATTTTTGCTTGTCCCAAGGATCAAACCAGTGACCCCTGGATTACAAATCACATGCTCTCCATATTGAGCTAAACTGTATGACATAAGGTACAGTCCATTGTAACTAAGAGGATTTTATTACTGTAATATAAATATTGAGCTACCAATAGTATAAAGCCTGGTTAGAATCCACCTAATATTATGTGCAGGCTGACCTGGCTCTATACTCATGGTAAGTACTAATGACCTCTAGTTACAGCACCAAGTATATTAATTAATAGTTAAAATGGAACTGTAAAATAGTAGTCTTTACAATATTTAGTTATTATTCAGAGATGGTCTGTTAACACAAGTTTGACTGTAGTATTTTAATGTTGTAGAAGTAGATTTGAGAAGAGACATGCAATAATAATTTTACCACCTGTACTTAAATGTATTTATACTTTAACATACCATACATGTATATAAAAGAAGTAAGACTATATTTCTATTATAAACAATAAGATATTGTTTACATTAATAAATACAAATTTTCATGTGTGATCAAAATATAAATTTTCTACACAGGTTTATAACAAAGTATATGATACACAAACATGCAGTCATGCAATAAGTTGTTAAGTGCAAAACATGCAAAATAAATTATGATATTAATCAAATTAGAAATATTCATTCCTCCATCCATTTGTCAATATTAAATCTCATCATGGTTAATAAGTTTTTCTTTGAAAAGGTTGAGCTAAAAATGAATCCATTTTTCACAAAATTTAATTTATTTAATGTGACAATTAAAATTCACTAAAGTAATATTGCAGCCATGGCAGTGTGATTTTCAGCATCACCTTTGTGTCCATGGCAGTGAAGGGGTTAATAAGGTCATTAAAATCCAATACAATTATCTCTCAATTAGAAAGCTAAGATAGTTAAGGTTTTGTAATTTTTAATATGTAAGCAGATGAGATAAATGAAAACATTACATAACTAAAGTAAAACATCTCCTTTATAATGCAAATTTATTGCTCAGCATTTTATGTTAATTCTCAAAAGGCTATTTGAATTATAGCATGGATGTCAATGTAAACCTGCATCTTTTTTGTTTTACTTCAGGCAAGTACTTACAGATAGTATATATAACCATAGATTACTTCACAAATATCAGGTCATATATAGTAAGGCACTTGCAATTACTCAATTTGATCAATTTGGATTTTTCTACAATTATTCAGACAATTAATTTGACAAATGATCATCTTTATATATTTTAACAGCATGAAATGTAATCCAAGGTTTCTGTTTAACAGTAATAATTCAGCACTATCCTAGTTGGTAGTAGAGCCAACTAGAATTAGTAAATGAAATTAATTAGTAAGTAACAAGGAAATTCATTCTGCAATAACATACATATGCCTTATGCAGACAAAAACCTTCCCAGTCATAAACCCTCCAGTCAAAAACTGATAAGATGGACAAAAAATCCTGGCTTAGAAAAATGATGACCTGAGATCAACTGCTTAAACATGTTGTAATTTCTTTAATGCAGAAGTAGTCCACATTCAAGGTCATTCATCGTCAATTTTTGCAAATCTAAGTGAACAAGTGGATCATTTTTTCTTTTCTTTTCTGGGTTGGCACTTTTAATTAAGGTTTATGGTGACCTTCCTGCTTTACTCAGGTGAAGGAAGATCTCTGCATTATTTCAAACATGAGCTGGCACCTAAAAGAACCACTGACCTCTAGTAAGCTAGCTGGATACATTCACCACATGAAAGATTCCCTTGCAAAATTTGATTACAACAGTGACAAGCAAGTATTTTAAAGTCAGCAACCACTTTGCCTTCACTCTTAGTTTATAACTTAAAGTAATTTTGTAGAGGACCAATAGGTGATGCTATTATTCAAATATCAAACTGTTGGCATTTTGAAGTCACCATTTTGGACTAAAAGCTTATTAATGACTTTACTTATGGTTGCCATCAGAGGTCTGCATGGAATGCATTTCTTTTCAGAAGTGACTTGAAATAAAGTTAACATACAGACTACAGTGAGCCATCCTAAAAGCCCACTCGGACATTTAATGATGGGCTTTTGTCTGCAAGGTTTTTTGTCCTCTGTATCAGTTATGAATAGCAATTTTGTCTGGGACGGCACTCAAATCTCATGAAAATCATTAAAAGATAAAAGCCAATATAAAACGGACAACTGGAATAAAACTAGAACATGAATATAAAGAGAAGTATCATGCAGAAAAAAATGTATGTGCAAGTGCAGAACACTTTACCTTGTGGAAAATATGTGCTGTGTTACACAGGGTACACAGTATATATAGCTGGAAGGTGACTGGTAGTTTTGGGGTTCTAAGGGCTAAAAAAGCTGAAGAAAAGAAGCTTAAAAATTGTTTACAACATGTGCTAGCTTCTAAGATAACAAAATGTGAACTTTGAAAATATTATAAAGGTTACAGACAGAAAAATGACTGACAACAACTAAGGTGATTTTTACATGAATGATGAACCATGTTACAATAAAAAGTTACTTGGTCTTTGTCACAAGAATTGAATAAAAAGTTAAAGTTTCTATTTTAATCATAACTATAAAACATCCAGTTAAGCAAACATGTTGGCAAATGCTACCAGCCTCCCTATAACTAAAGCCACAACCAAGTTGGAGTCCTGTTTAACTTTTTCTTATTTCCAACAGCAAACATAACGGAGGAAGAACATTGCAGTGCAGGATTTTCAAAGAAAATGTCAATTTTTTTTACATGGTTTTATTAAACTTTCATATTTGACCTTGACAGTCATATCAAGGTCATAATAGAATAATTAAACAGTTGGTGTAGTCATAAGTGTTTATCTCAGGATAAATCAAATCTGTCCATTGACAACAAAGTTATGGCAATTTAATCAAAATTTAAAAACTTGAAAATGAAGGGCAAGGTCACATAATGGTCAAGGTCATATCTAAATAACTCAACATGTCGATTTTGCAAAAAATGTAATTTTGTCAAAGAATTATCAAATTTGTAGATGAATAACAAAGTTATCACAATTAAACTAAATTCAACAAATAGACCTTGATGTCAAGGTCATATAAAGGCCAATGTCATATTTGAATTATACAACATGTTTGTGTCGTTTTGTTCAAGTATAAATCAAATCAGTAAATAATTTACAATGTTGTCACAATTTAAACAAAATTTTAATTTGACATTGGCAGTGAAGGTAATATTTGATGACTAGAGCTGTTTTGTCCAAGTAAGTTTATAACTAAGATATGGCCTATTCAAGTAAAATTCTATAATTTGACCTTATATATCAAGGTCAAATAAAAGTCATGGTCAAATTCAGTTAAACCCTCCTTTGAAGGAATCCAATGGTCATCTATGAAATCAAGGTCAAGTTCAGTCTGGTCTTCTTAAAGGTTTTGTTCAAATGGTTGTAAAATGTTGTGTTCAAATTAGAAGTTAATCCATTAAGAAAATATTTTTTTATGTGTATGAAAAGGTAATGACAAAGTGACTGTGGCAACAGCTTAAAAATTTCTTCGAAAAAAATTCAAGTTTAAATGATGTTTTAAATACTAAATTTAACATTTTAGAAACTAATTCAATCAAAAATTTGTTCTACAAATCAATATCTAATGCTACCTTGTAATTTAAAGACATGTACAATTTTAGTAAATTAGTCAGTAATTGGCATACATAGTTTGAAACTTGGTACTTTTCATTGATACATGGTTCATATAATAATACATGTGAAATGTTGTGTTATAAAGAATGAAAAATATTGAGATAAAAACATGATTAATGGAATTTCTCCTTACAACAATGGAAATTGGATAAAGCTGCTATACTTCTAGACATATTTAACACAATTGTTTTAACTTTAATATCTACAATACTTTATGACAGAATAATCCACTTCAAATAATCCAAATTAAATTTTGCTTTCAGTACTTCTATTATGTCTCAAATCTCTATAAATGTGTAATATCTGATGGACATTTAATTACTTTATTATTCCATTGCTCTAACTGATATTAAAGGAACTCCACTGAGGTCAAGAAGCATAAAAACATGAAATTTCCAAATCTTACTTTGATTTACTGGGGCACCTAAATTACAGGATATGTAAATGATAATTAAGAAACAAACCAAGAAGTAAATTGAAAAATCTATTTTTGTGCTATTCTTAGCCAGATTTGAGTGAAAAGCGTTAAATTTTGGGTCATTTTTCACAATAAAAATATTTATTCTTGATAAATGGAGTAAGCAAATGATCTGAAATTTTGCACACAAGTTTTTGGTCTAGACCTTCATCAAATGGAACATTTACCTCGAAAAATTATTTCCTGTCCCGTCATCCCAAAAATCTCAGTGGAGTCCCTTTAATAAGAATAAGCATACCTTCCATTAATCAAAACTATTAAGTTTTATAAGTAAAGTGAAAGAAAAAGACTTTTGTAATAAATCATTTTTTGAAAATAATTGTTCATTAGGTATATGTAGGGGAAAGCACAAATGTTTGACAGATATGACATTGAACAGTAAAATGGAAATCTATCACTTAAACACAGAAAGAAAAATTTAAAGCTGGAAAAATAGTAATACAATATAATAAAAATGAATAGTAAAAGGGGTGGAAATAAAAAGCACCTTTGCATTAATCAAATATACTGAAAGCTTCTTAGTGCTTTTACAAAGAGAGCTAAGTAAATTATGTGCACAAAATGATTTTAAAGCAGTTTAAAGATAAAATGGAGATTAAAACAAAAAGGATGCTAACACCTACCATGAAGCTATATGATTGAACTTATTTAGCTTACCACTTAAACATATATCTTAATGTTTTTTTGTTTTTTTTTAAAATAATGGTTAAAGACTAAAATTTTATGACTTAATGAATTAATATGACAACCTTTTAAAAGACCTTGACAACCTTTTTTATTCCTTAGTGACTCTAACCTTATATAAAGTCTGTTATCTTGAAAACATTGGATGAATTTGATAATCTTAAAAGATCTCCATAACAACCTGTTATGACCTTGACAATGTAGGATGAACTAAACAACCTGTTATGTCCTTGACAATGAAGGATAAACTTGACAACCTACTATGACCTTGACAATCTGGGATGAACTTAACAACCTATAATGACCTTGACAATCTGGGATGACCTTGACAAACATGCAAATGATACAACAGATATTGTTATTTTTTGGTACCCGTCTGAACACAACAGTTCTATGTATTGTATTACACAGTGCAGCTTCTATGTTTGTTGAGGTTACCACTATAGACGGTTACTATGGTAACCAAACTAGAAGCAACAACAACAACAATTATATCACAGCAAAAAAAACAATAATACAATCATAAAGATTCTGGAAAACTATTAAGGCTGTCAAAGCTTTCACTATCTGCAAATTTCTTCCAGTATCGAAGGAGATTCTTCTTACTCGACGGTTTTCCAGAATTCAAGTTCGGCGTTTTCATGCCATTATTGCGCAGAATTTCCAACAGTTCATATCTGAATGAAGAAATGTCTTGTTTGAGTTCATTCACATCATCCTCCGTGACACCTTCCCCGCGCTGTGGACTACGCTGCTTCGCCATCACGTAACGCTTCACCAGATCTCGCATTACAGCCTAAACGATAACATATATATAATCAATTAATACACCTGTAAATTACACAGTGTTGTTACAAAAATAAACTTCAATTCACTAGCATACTTAAGCATCTTATATGTTTTAAAACAAAACTGTTTCAGATTCTTCTAAATATATATTTGAAAACTTATTTCACGTTCATCACAGACTGAATGTAACTATTTCCTACATCTAAAACACATCTCAAAATGAAAATCACTGTATATTAGAAGCTTTACAAACCTGATATCTAATTTCTCTTTCATTTATTTTCTTTACAACTTTCTGAAATTAACAAATATATTTTATATTAACAACTTGAAAATAATACAATTATAAGGAAAGAACAATTTTCAAAAATCTATTAATATTTTATTCAAGTAAAGGGAGACAAACAGTGTAAAAAATAAAGTATAAATTCCGGAAGAGTTTCTCCCCATATTAGACTTGAGATAATCATTTGCATAGTTTCTGTCAGAATCATGCTTGTATATAAATATTCATGCAGCATGTTGCAATATGTACATCATCATAACATACAAAGTTAGTCAGAGCTATATATACTGAACAGATATACATGTATTATCACTACAAATTGATCTGTCAATCATACATTAATGTATAATACTTCCTAATTAACTTCTTTATCTAAATTATACACGATGACAACATATTGGTTGGCAAACCTGTCTCTGTCACAACAATTTTATAATACTATACAATTACTAGTAGATTATACAATAAATACAGCTAATTTGATACTAGGATTCAATACTAGTTTCCCATGAAACGCATTGCTTTCCTTTCATTCTGACATAGTCAATATAATTGTATAATTACATTAAAATTTTTGTGATGTGCTTAGTGTTTAGTTCCAGCTAGAAACATTTACTATTTGATATGATAATTTGTTTTTAACACTCAAAACCTCTTCCCTGTACTGGATTATGACCATCTACCAGCAAAAAATATCAAACACAAAATAAACTTGTAACTTTTACAGGAAAAAGTTTGGTTCATAATCTTCATTTTCTTTACCATTTCTTGACCTATCTAAATTAGGAGATAATTGAGGCCCGAAATGGGATCCCAATGAGCTATTTCAAAAACATTTATAACACTTATTGGTGGCGATTAATTAAATCTACAATTATGTTGTATGGTTTAAAGAAACATACGTTTGCATCCTCTGAATTGATATGCCCATGTTTTTGGTATGCGCATTCAATAAGGAAATGCCCAGGTACATTAAAGAGTGAATGTATAAAATGCATTTTAGACGACTTAGCATAACGGAGATCTATCAAACACGAACAAATAAAAGATGTCTGGTACATGGTACTGTCCAGTAGATAGTCAAAATCCATAATGCCCCATGAAAATGAAACTCCCTACAGGACAGTTTTTTCTTTCTCCATGGCATAACTATGGAAAAATTAATTGTTTTACTACAAATGACCAATATTGACCATCTTTAAAGGTCTACCGCACTGAACTAGTGAGCATAAATCTGCAGACAGATATTAAATGAAAAGAGGGACATTAGATAGACATAAAGACAGACAGACAGATTGTTGGATGCAAAAAGAAAAAAGATGAATGAAAAAACGAAGACTGACCACTAGTTATTCTATAAATTGTTATGTTAGAACTTGATGTTTGTGTGAGTTAGAAACAAAAATCACAAAAAAACAACAAATCAGTAAAAACTAGAGCTATCACTGAAGGTGATTAATACCCCCACCAGCAACTCTGAAGAAAAATTTGAACTGAACCTATAATAAATGAGGTATCAACTATGTACAAAAATTATTTCAACAAGAACCGGTTGAAGCGGGTGATGCTCCCCGAGAAGGTTCTGGACACAGGAAAGTATAAAAAAAAATGAACAAAGGGCAAAAACTCCAAAATTAGGCAAAGCGGAGTTATGTTTTTTTGCACTTCACTTTTATTCAATGAGATCTATCTATCTATAAAGTTTCCTGATGATATCAGAGTTATGTCCCAGGTAAAAATGAACAAAGGACAATAACTCCAAAATTAGCCCAGGCTAATAATTGTTTAGGTTCTTTAAGCATTGCAGTTCTATCCAATTATATCTAGCTACCTACAAAGTTTCATGTTGATATCTGTAATAGTTTTAAAGTTATGTCCCGGACAAAAGTCAAAAAGTAAAAATAAACAAAGGGCAATTACTTCAAAATAAGGCAAGGCAGAGTAATGATTCTTAAGCACTGCACTTCCACCCAATGAGACCTATCTATCTACAAAGTTTCATGTTGATATCTCTTATAATTTTAGAGTAATGTCCCGGACAAAGTTCAAAGTGTCAAAATGAACAAAGGGCAATAACTCCAAAAGTAGGCAAGACAGTGTTACAGTTCTTGTGCACTGCAAACTTACTCAATAGATCTATCTACCTACAAAGTTTCATGTTGATATCTCTTATACATTTAGAGTTATGTCCCGGACAAAGTTCAAAGTGTAAAATAAACAAAGGGGAATAATTCAAAAATTAGGCAAGGCAGAGTTACGGTTCTTGTGCACTGCACACCTACTCAATAGATCTATCTACCTACAAAATTCATGTTGATACCTCTTATAGTTTTAGAGTTATGTCCCGGACAAATTTCAAAGTGTAAAATAAACAAAGGGGAATAATACAAAAATTTGGCAAATCAGAGTTACGATTCTTGTGCACTGCACACCTACTTAATGAGATCTATCTACCTACAAAGTTTCATGTTGATACCTCTTATAGTTTTAGAGTTATGTCCCGGACAAATTTCAAAGTGTAAAATAAACAAAGGGGAATAATACAAAAATTTGGCAAATCAGAGTTATGATTCTTGTGCACTGCACACCTACTTAATGAGATCTATCTACCTACAAAGTTTCATGTTGATACCTCTTATACTTTTAGAGTTATGTCCCGGACAAAGTTCAAAGTGTAAAATAAACAAAGGGGAATAATTCAAAAATTAGGCAAGGCAGAGTTACGGTTCTTGTGCACTGCACACCTTCTCAATGAGATCTATATACCTACAAAGTTTCATGTTGATACCTCTTATACTTTTAGAGTTATGTCCCGGACAAAGTTCAAAGTGTAAAAATAAACAAAGGGGAATAATTCAAAAATTAGGCAAGGCAGAGTTACGGTTCTTGTGCACTGCACACCTACTCAATGAGATCTATCTACCTACAAAGTTTCATGTTGATACCTCTTGTTGTTTCAAACTTATATCCTAGACAAGAAAAGGGGACGGACGGACGGATGGACAAGGCGGCGACTATATGCTCCCCCCGAAATATTTTGGGGAGCATAATAAATTGCAATCCCAAGCGGGGTCTTCATATAAGCTTGCTATACACCAAGTTTGATTACAATATCTTATTCCTAACTCAAGATATTGTCCGGAAACCATTTTTCTATTTTTAGTAACAGTGACCTTGACTTGAGGGGGTCCAAATGCAACACTGTGGTTTTTATATAAGCTTGCTATACACCAATTATGATTACAGTATCTCATTCCTAAACGGAAACCATTTTTCTATTTTTATTAACAGTGACCTTGACTTTGACTCCAGGGCGTCCAAATGCAATACCAACTGGGGTCTTCATATAAGCTTGCTATACACCAAGTTTGATTACAAAATCTCATTCCTAACTCTACTTATTGTCCAAAAACTATTTTTCTATTTTTAGTAACAGTGACCTTGACCTCTGGGGGTCCAAATTGCAATACCAACCGGAGTGTTCATATAAGCTTGCTTTGCACCAAGTTTTTGATTACAATATCTCATTCTTAACTCTAGTTATTGTCCAGAAACCATTTTTCTATTTTAAGTAACAGTGACCTTGACCTTGCCCCAAGGGGGGTCCAAATGCAATACCAACCGGGGTCTTTATATAAGCTTGCTATACATCAAGTTTGATTACAATATCTCTTTCCAAACTGTAGTCATTGTCCGGAAACCATTTTTTTATTTTTAGTAACATTGACCTTGACCCCAGGTTGTCCAAATGCAATATCAACAGAGGTTTCCACATATTGTTGCTATATACCAAGTTTGATTCCAAACTCTAGTCATCGTCTGGAAACTATGATGTGGACCGACCGACAAGCTGACTCCTAAATACCCCCCTAAACTTTGTTTATAGGGGTATCATTAAAGTAAAAGACCAGTATTAGATTGACAATACAGCATTCTCTTAGTCTCTTGTTTTACTGATATATAAAATCTTACAGTATAATTTCTCAGTTGCTGAAATTGAAGAAAAAACATATCTGAATTTCTGAACTTTCAAGATCTTGTTTTAACATTCAACATGAAAGATATTTTCAGATTGAAATGCAAGTTTTGATGATGTGTTCAACTTGTCAACTAACAAAGATAAATTTAACAACATGTGTCATGTATATAAATGAAGTACAAGTACTGGTGCCCTTCAATTATCATACAAAAAGTATTTGACAGTTTATCATTCAAGGTCTTTTCCATGAGGAAATAAAGACAGTGCATAAACAAGCTTTGCAGATAATTCACATGTTAATAATCATTAAAGGAACTCCACTGACATCTCAAAGCCTAAAAAACATCAAATTTGAATTTAATTACTATCACAAATCAGCAGCGTCATTTCAAACAAAACATACACAACAGATAATTTAGAAATGCACTCAGAAATACATCGAAAATCATATTTTTATGCTATTCTTAGCCTGATTTGAGTGAAAAGATTTTCAATTTAGGGTAATTTTTCACAAATAAAATAATTATTCTTGAAAAATGGAGAGTAAATGATCTGAAATTTTGCACACAAATTAATATTGGTGTAATCTCTTAATGAAGTCAAGATAAAATGGCAGCTTGTGTATCAGTAAATTTTCTCGGACTTAAAAATGTCAAGAATAAGATGTGGAATTAGACCTACATCACATGGAACATTAACCCTGTCATGTCAAAATAACCTCAGTGGAATTCCTTTAAGCAAAGAAAACTAATAATATGAAACATAAAGCAAAGTATAAAAGAAAAGAAATATAATTTGAAATTATAAATAAATAATAAATAAAACTAAAAAAAAAAAAAAACACCATGAACAAACTTAAAATTTTGGGCTATGAAAACAAGAGGTCACGTACAACAAAAATTTTAACAATATATGAGCCGTGTCATGACAAAACCAACATAATGCGTTTGCGACCAGCATGGATCCGCGCAGTCTGATCAGGATCCATGCTGTTCGCTTACAAACCGTATTATAAGTAGAGAAATTGAAAGCGAACAGCATGGATCCTGATCAGACTGCGCGGATGCGCAGGCTGGTCTGGATCCATGCTGGTGGCAAAGCCATTATGTTGGTTATGTCGTGACGCGGCTCATATTTGAAACATACTCTTATACTCTGCCATCTGTTCCGCTTGCGATCCTTTGAGCAGAGAAACAGTTTCTCCCGAAACCAAAGTACAATATAATAAAATGTTTTAGGGCTAGGAATAATGTTGAATGGGACTGGAAGAGTTCCGCTCTCATCAAAATAACTGATCCACAGTCGTGAACGTGCAAACTTCCACTCCTCATCTGACTGACTCTGAAACACAGTAACAACAAAACATTATAAAAGTTAAATACCCGTGCCAATTTTGCAACTCTGTAAAAAACGGTATTGCGCGGCTGTAGATGTATTTTGACATGACGTCTTTTGCTTTATACAAACATAGTGTAAAGACACGCTAAATGTTTCACTTTAGGCGGGTCATTGAAAAATGATTCTTTTTCACTTTAAACACTCTTCATTTTGGAAAATTATGATAAATAGAATATTATATTCGTGTCATTTCAATACACGAGTCAGTGGCCCGCATAATATTACTTTATTCAACTTTTTTAATAAATTCAGTATTGATTTTACACTCATTCAATATCCTCTATTTACAAAAACAGTTTCTGCATGCATGAAATAAAAACAATTTTATAAAGAAAATCTTTTTTTTTTTCTGTTTGCAAAATTTCTACTGAGTGCTATTTCTGTTTTAGATGTCCTCATATTATTGACATTTGTATTTCGTCAACTTTCTCTAGATTATTAATTTACAGACACATTCACTAGCATTAATGAACAACTGTAATGTCAGTATTAACATGGTCTGGATAATGGGAGGTAAGTCTTGTTATACTTACAGAAATACACTGGTAAGAGTTACTCATCATTGCAATAAGAAGATTCAGCAATATAACAAAGCCTATCCAGCTGTAACTGCCGAACATAAGTTTCCCAATAAACTCTGTGAACTCGTGCGATTCTTCAAGTTCAAGATGATCAAGGTCAACAAGTCCATATATAGCCCAGTACAAACTCTGTATAATCTCAAACAGACTGAAAGTAAAATTCATTCCTTAACTTTGCGCTCCTTTAACAATTTTTAACAATTAGTATGCCTGTCAAAATCTATCAATAGCATGCTAAAAGGTTAAGATTTTTCTATAATTTTCTGGCCATTTTCTTTTCTCTTTTTCTTCTTCAAATAGATGTAATAATTGCATTTTAACCTGTATGTACAATAATTATATAAATGACCAATTTCTGAGTAGGATTCACTCAGGATTGTATTTCATATTCAAATAGGGTTATTATAATTATAATAATGACCATATGGTCATCAGACTTATCAGCATCAAGTTTAACATGATTGGGAGCTCCACTTTTTAGCTTAATTTCAATCATAATGTTTTAATAAGATAATGATAAAATATAATTGAAAAACCTAATTTCTGCATAGTAATATCTAAGTTCATCCCGGACATTACCATCAATGCACTTTTATCAAAAATTCATCTTAAGTTTAAGTGAAATTGTGACCTCAACCTACAAAACTGGGTCTTGACCTTTGACCTACAACATGGGTATTGCATGCAACAGATCAATGTGCCTCCCATTCATGCGAAAAGAATTTCAAAATCTATCTTTGGATAATCAAGTAATGGACCAGAAAAAAAGCTTACAGATGAACAAACTATATGCAACCATTCATGAGGCAAAAAAAACCAACTGTTTTCTATTCATGAAGAAATACTTTAGTGGATTAGTATCATTCCTTGTACAAAATGTATAACCATTAAAACACCTTTACATGTATCCATCAGGGAAATCTGCAAGGTATTATTGTACCAGCTTATTCAGATTTCCCGAATTCTTTACAGTAAAATATAAACACAATTACATCCCTCACTGCTTGCAGAAATATAATAAGATTTCTGCCAAATTTCCAACAAAATAGATTCTCAAGTTCAGATAATACATCTATAACATAAGTTTAAATGTTCTATATATTGTTTTTACTTGCACTCTTAGGTGCATGTTTGTCTGGAATGCTGTAGACAAACTATAAAATTGTCTCTTGTAATTTTAAAACCTAAATAAACATTTTAAAGGCACATAAACAAAAACATTTCTCCTTTTGAAAGGGCAAATATGAAATCTGTTGAACAGAAACTGTGACTATAATAGTGCAAATAGCCCCCACACCTCTTTCAATGCTGTTTTGTCAGTAGACCATTATGAAATTTCATGTTTTCATTCATCATATTGACAATCATGTTATTGACAAAAATTAAGTATAAAAATTACAAAGGACTATTAATAGCTCCAAAAATATGCACAGTTTAGTTATGGCTCTAAGACACAGCATTTCTTTTCAACAAAATATATCCATTTATGACATTTCAAGCCACTTCTCAATAAAATTTATTTACCTAGGAAGTTTCATAATGATACTTTTAAGGAATCTTCATAATGGTAGCTTCTAGTAACACAGATCAAAAATAAATTGTGAGAAAATTTCAAAGAGCAGCAACTCCAGAATTACACAAAAAAGAGTTATGGTTCTTGAGTGCTTCTGTTCAATGACAAAGCAAATTAGAATCCAACTAGAAATGTGTCCATAGGACACTGATGCCCCCACACGCCACTGTTCTGTCAATCTTATGACTCTAGGTCAAATATTTTTTGGACTACATGTGCCACAAGTTGAAAACTAAAAATCAACAAAGGGCCATAATTCTGTTAAATTTGGTCGCAGCAAAAATTCCTTCCTTTACTACCATCTACACATTAAGGTTGTTAATCCCTGGAAGTTTAAGCAAAATCTGCCATCCTGTTTAAGAGGAGTTGCGTTCACAAAATTTCTACATAGTATATAATGAAAAAATCAACAAAGGGCCATAATTCTGTTAAATTTGGTTAGAGCAAAAATTCCTTCCCTTACTGCCATCTACACATTAAGGTTGTTCATCCCTGTAAGTTTAAGCAAAATCTGCCATCCGGTTTAAGAGGAGTTGCGTTCACAAAATTTCTAAATAGTATATAGTGAAAAAATCAACAAAGGGCCATAATTCTGTTAAATTTGGTGGGGACATAAAAATTTATATCAAATCAAAATGGTACCCTGTCAAGTCTAGTTTTTTTTTTAAGTAAAAAAATCCATATCATAATCAATATTGCACTACATGGGTTTTGCTATTTCCAAAACTGTTGGGTGTGTGGCTTGCTAACCAATTGAACTAATACATGTTTCATACCTATCTAAGTAAATTAATATTAAACTTTATACCATTGCAGTAATAGCTGAATTAATAGAAATCTAGCCACTATTCTGCCAATAATCTACTATCATTTTTGTTTTTGTTTGAATTAATATAATGTTTCCTGCTGCATAGTATTTCACAACATCGAATATCCATTATCTAATTTTGATAATGTACAGCAATATTTGTAACAGTTGCCTAATTGAAATATAATGAGGAAACATTTTGTACAATCAAAAGGTGAACATGTTCATATGCATGTACAGTCTAAAGCTGTTCACAGATGTAAGGACTATACTGATTGGTGCAAATTGTAACATGGTTAGTACAAAAAAATCATTTATAAATATCAGATATAAAGCTCCTACACTGTAATGGAATACTGATTTTAGTCACAACAAGAAATGTCAGTACAACATCGTGCTCGACTATTCTCAGTGCATGATAGTAAAACAAGGCCCTGGATAAGTTAGATTTTTTTAAGTTCAAAAAGGGTCATTACTCTGTCAAAATCAATGCTACAGTTATGGGCCTTAGACAGAGTCCTCCTATTATGCTGTCAAATAAGTGTAATGTTTCAATCAATTCTCTTCATACCAACTTACACAAAAATACTTAACCAAAGTGTGATGGCCATACCAACAACTAAGTGAGGCCATACCAACAACTAAGTGATTATGATAGATCTCCCTATTCTTTGAATAGTTGAGCTAATGAAAAAATTAGGAAAGTTTATATAATCATTTAATATGAAATTTTGTTAAACTATGTATAAGTAAGTGTTTATTAGAAAGCATTGACCAATTCAAAGTAGTAAATGCTTACTATAAAACACCAACCAATTTAGTGTTTGAGTTTAGCAAATTTGCTCAAGTCATTTGAAATAATGCAATTCTATTGGACAAAAAAATAATTTCAAGCACTATCAAATGTAAAAACCTTGCCTCTCAACAGACATAAAACATTAACGTTAAATTCTTGCCAGGAACAAAATCTGACAACCACCAATCATCTGCTTTGTTCATTTGACAGAAATCTCAATTTTACACAGTCTTGAATTCATAAAAGCTCTCTATGAGATTTTATCATAACCTTCAAACATGCATTAAGCATGACAAAATAAATTAGCCTTTACCAGATCAACAAATAAAAACATGTTTGGTAGCTGCCAATATCTGATTTACTTTATACAGTTAATGACTACATTATCTGACGCATAATATTCCACTTTCATTGTGATTGCTGTTTAAAAGTCAAATTTCCATACTATATCAGCAAATTCCGGAAAAATCATGGTAAAAACAGGAAGAGCACTTACTTGGCGAAGCTTTTGTACTTCCTGTCACATGGGTCAATCTTATCATTCGGTAAGTTTGTTCCTGCAGAATAATGTGATGCTTCTAAGTCGGTCTGACTGTTGCACTCTTCTGATCGGAGAGTAGCGTAGTACCAGTGTAAATGATTTAATCCACACGCAAATGATAACAACACTAGCATGTATAAAACACCAAACTTCATGATGTCATTTATCATACGTCCAAGTGAAATCTGAAGAGGTCCCAAGTGTGGATTTACAGTAAATATGTATATCAACTTTAATGAACTGAATATATTAGCGGCAGCAAATAAAGCCTCGGCTATGAGATTTGGGTCGTACGGATCCCATTCCCTCCGCTGTAGAGTAGCGTGCTCAAGCAGTCCTGTTTCACGTTCCTTCTGAACCTGTAAACAATTGAATTATACCACCATTCATATTTGCTGACTCATTCAAATAGCCTAGTACATATATGTGAACACGTTAAACATAATTTTTAAGAACAGCCATGTTATAATGTCTTTGCTCATAAAGTTCATAAATTCACACCTCTGACAAGACAACTTCTTCACTCTTAAATCAATAATTTTCTCAAAATGATAATACCATCATTTTCTTTTAATCATATAATATGTATAATAATATAACTGCAATAACTATGTATGTTTTTAATGAACACTTTCAACAGAAATGTGTTTAGAAAACAGTAAGGAAAGGGAACACCCCCCTATACTTGGAAGGAAACAATCTCACTAAACTGGGAAGAAAAAATTCCCCTAAACTGGAACTGGGAGAAGAACATTCCTGTATACTCAGAGAGGAGAGCATACCACTATTATGGTAAAGGAACATCCCTTTATTCCCAGTGGGCTAGACTGGGAGAACTTCTCTATACTGGGAGGGGAACATCCCACTGTAATGGGAAGGAAACACTAAACTGGGAAGGAAAAATCCTCCTTAACTGGGAGAGGAACATTCCTTTTTACTCAGAGAAAAGAGCATACCACTATAATGGGAAAAGAACATCATTTTATATATAAACTGGAGGAACTTCTCTATACTGAGAGGGGAACATTCCTTTGAACATGTACTATGAGAACATTCCTCTATACTGGAAAGAGAAAATCCCACTTTAATGGGAAGGGAACATCCCTTTATTCTGGGAGGGGAACAACCAACTTTACTGAAAAGGAAGCCTCCAACTACACTAAAAAACAATACTTTATGAGTTACAAAATTAATATTCCCTATCAATTGATCTGAAATATAACTATGCCAAATTTGTGAATATTACATCAATAATACAAACTAGACATTCTATGAACTTTCTTTTCTTTCTTCTATATCAAAACTCTATTTTTTTCTTATTCAACAACAAAAAATATAGAACATTGTTTTTATTCAGAAATTTGTCTCTTGAAAATCTGAAAGACGCTTCAGTCAAAAATATCACTGACACTACCACATTACAAACTTGAAACTAGAGAATGCACATTGACTTTTTATGAGGAAAAAAAGAATGTATTCATGCAGTCTTTCTTGCCTGATTACAAGGAATGTAGTAATTAAGGACACTTCAGGAAACTTTAAATGTTGCTTAACACTTGAAGCCCATTAGCAAGTCTTGTATAATCAATATAATGCTTTCAATGTTCTTAATTATTAAAGAGACAGATTTATAAAGAAATGCTGACTTATATAATTGACAGATTATTGATTTCAAACTCTACATGCAGATGGCAACATTCCTGTGTCACAGATGAGTAATCTATTTTACCCTACAGGTATAAAACCTTTTCTTACTTATAGTTAAATCCTATCTCTTAGGTACAATGAGATTTATATAATGATTTAATTTGACTGTAGAAAGGATTTCATGATCAATCACAACAAAAGTGAACTGGGATGTCCAGGAATTGGACCTTGGTTGCCAGATTCACAGTCCAACGCTCTACCTATTGAGCTAACTGGACGTCTAAAGAAACAATTCAGGGGTTTCTTATAAATGGGTCTGGGCACCTGTGATGTAGTTAGGAAACTATCAAATTTGTGGTTACAACAAACATTGCTGTTATAAGAGACTTCCCAGCAAACACATGACGTTAGAATAACGTCAGATTATCGTTAGATTTTGGTCACGACGTCGGCGACCAAAATACAACGTAAATCTGACGTCCAAAAACCGATGTCTATTAGACGTTTCTTTTTGACATCGTATTAACGTCAGGTTCTGGTCAGTGTCCTGACAGTAGGTAAAAAAAAATAACAAAAGGTAATCCTTATTAGCTGTTGTAATCATTTAAACTTTTTTAAATGTTATGGCTCGAATTAAGTGTATATATACATACAAATGCCTTTCGAAGACCACATGCGCGGCGCTGCAACCTAATAAAACATATAGGTGGCTCTGTATATAGGCAAGTTACATGTGTTATTGTTATGAAATCTATTTATAGCCACAGATCTGTTTACGAGTTCCAATCATTTAACGTTATAATATTATCATTTGTGGTACATTATATGTATCAAAATCATGAGTTTTTAATAGTGCTTTAACATTTAATCAAAGTGACAGGAAAAGGAAAGAAAACATAGATTTTTTCTAATTATAATTCGAATCTACAGTCACATGGATGGAAAATTCAAATTCGTTGGCGTTTCGTATGTCAGGAATTGGGATGCATTGATAAAAAGAATATTCAAGATTTTCTTGAACAAAAAGGTCAGTTCAATTTGTGTAAATTTATTTCTACTTTGTATTTGAAAAATAATTGCACGATTGCATGCATTCTTAGATTTAATTATCATTATTTGGAGCAAAATGTCACACAAATTCGCGATAATGTTTGATAATTAATCATTTCAAATTTGGCATGTTTTAACTCTGCTCGTGAAGAGTTTATAATGTGCCTTTCAGTACAACCGAAGAGAATGCTTAGTTTTCATATTCTTGTTAAACTATGATGTTTTTGTCTGAATTGAGAATTAATTGATACGATTTCGATCATTTCGGACCAAGATGTTTCGGTCCCAGACATTTCGGCATTTTCCCAATCGGCCCCATTTTTGATCAGAATAAATCTTACATTAATGTGTTTTACACCAGATTTTAATATCATTCTAATAAATGAACGGGAAATAAATGAAAGAGCGAATTGATTATCTAATTATCATTTTGTAATATAGAATGAGGCTTCATATAATCATTAGTAGGAAAAATGTAATTAAAACAAATTAAACTTTTTAACAAAACGCAGTACATAAACATACATTTATTATCAACAATTTCTTAACAATCTTTAATTTAAAACTATTAAAAATTTAAGACTTGCGTAACTGTTCTATTTCAAAAGTAGAAGATACATAAGTTTGAATATAATTTTCTTTTCAGGTAGTTCAAGCGTTTGACATGCTCTCAAAGGTCGGAGGGGCAAAAATACGTGATAATGTAAAAAGAAACATGAATCATCGGAAAGTAAGATTTTGTAAATTCTATTACATATTATAATCTATACAAAACTGGAGTTTTAAAGTTGTCTTTTTTAATTTTCAGTATTTATGTTTACTTTCAATTTTTGTTAAAGCTCATTTCTGAAAAGCTAGCAAAGTTGTTCATTAATTTAACTTTCATAATTTCTAAGGGCAGATAACCATGAAAAACATTTTTGCTTGTATTTTTTCCAATTTTCATAAATTTCTTTTTTTTCAGTGAAAATGATATCACAAATGCCATTGGACATTAACATGTTACATCCTCCGGACAGACAAGGGGGTAGTGAGAGAAGGTCATATATCTAAAGGCATCACACCTCCAAATTCGTGCTAATTCTCATGGATATTTAAAAGTATAACTTTTTAAGAAGTAACTAAAAGGAAGTAATTTATACGTTAGTGACAATTATCAAAAGGAGGTCAAAATATGAAAAATACCATGAAATGTTTTAGTAATGCTGTAGAAATATAGTTAAAATACTGAATATCTGTCATTAATTGCTTGAAACATTATTATCCGAATCTTTCAACTTTTCTTAAAATTATAATATTTTCATAATTTTGTTTGATAAGGCAAACTTTGAAAGAAATATACATACATTGTTTTGTTCTTTAATATTTGTATATGATTTCTTAGTTTCATTTATGTCATTGTTTTTGTCATACTTTTTGTTTTGTTATTAACTTATTTCATGTTTTATTTGGTTTAGTTTATGAAAGGTTTTAAGCCTTGCAAAATTAACTAAAACTGTATGTATCAGCTTGAAATTGCAACTTTTATCTTAAATAAAAAAAACAACATAAAAACATATTTTTGCTTTTAGTTTTTTGTTATACATTTCATTGGAGTGAAAGTTACTTAAAATAATGAGTTACATTAAATTTGATCAAATCGGGATTGGCCAGAAAATATTTATAACATTGTAAACAAGAAGGATTAGGGAAATGGTCATGTTTAAGCCAGAAAAGGGTTAAGAATTAGATCGGAAAATGGTCAGATTGAGGTCAGAAAATGATCAGAAACTGGTTAGATTAAGGTCGGAAAATGGTCTGATTGAGGTCGGAAAATGGTCAGAAACTGGTTAGATAACGGTCAGGTTTTGGTCGGAAAATGGTCAGATTTTGGTTAGATAATGGTTCGATTCTGACGTCTACCTGACGTCAGATTATTACGTCAAAAAAACTTTCAAATCCGACCGTTTTTCCGACCGTCATCCGACGTCAGAACCTGACTTAAATCTGACGTCAGTGTGACGTCTTGTGTTTGCTGGGTTGGTATTTTTGTTTTACATTTTTATGTATTATCTTTATGAATATTGTTGTTATTGATTAGCGTCTGCGCAAAAGTGCGACACCCTTTAAGGAATGCATTCAGATATTGTGAAGGGGCAATCGCAACTTTTCGGCCCTTTCCGTCAGTCTTAACCGAGAGTGTTCTGATTGGTGAAAGGGTATTTGTTGTTTATTGATTTTTAATTGGGATGGATCAAATCTGGACATAGTAAGGTTCAGCAATGTTAACAAGGTTCTTCTCTGATTTGACCTTTGACCCAAGATGGCAAATATATATAAACTCATTAGAGATATCATGATTATGTTAGAGATAGAAGTTGTGCCTCAGAAAAAGTCTTTGACTGTTCCTATTTTTATAAACTACCTGGTAAGTATCAATGTGGTTGCATATATTTTACATTTATCATTATTTTAAACTAGATATAAAATCTATAACTGTTGAATATGTTTCAATGTCTCAAGAGATAAATCAGGAAATGATAGTAGTAGTGATACAACCAGATCTTCTCCTCATTATAAACAAACACATTTATCACAGATTGCAGACTAAATAATTTCCTATTGTTTACTGATGCATTATTATATTGAATGATGTGGCAGAAGTCAAATTTCCATTTTATTTCCATACCACACATAAAAACTAGCATGAAGTAATGGACTTTACATAAAACCATGAACTGATGTAATATAGCCATATTTCTACATATGGAATACTTCCATTCATTAAAAATACAACATCAATCTATAAATGAAATAACATTTTCTTTTCGTTGGAGATCACATCGGAGATCATCCTCAGACATTGTTTACTATGTACATGTACTTAGGAATCTTATTAAATCCTTAATACAATCGCTGTATTATTGGGTACATATGAATGGAGGTATAATAAAATGTAACATTCCTTAGTGTTTATAAAATAAAGGATTTGTATTGTAAGTTTAGAATGTTCCATATAATATCAATGGCAGTAGATAGGCTATAACCCTTAGTATGGCAATGTACAACAAATTGGTGACAAAGTCTAGAATGTTCCACATTATCTGAAATATTACCTGTAGATAGGCTATAACCCTGAGAGTGAGAGTGGCAATGTACAATGAATTGGTGACAAAGTCTAGAATGTTCCACATATCATGGCAATATTCATCTGCTCCTTCATCCCATAACTGTTTTATCTCTGTCCATATCAATCCTGAAATTATATATTTTTACATTTAAGATAAGTAAATTAACTCTCCTATATGTGTACCCTATATTTGGCATGCCTTTGCCTCAAAACGCAAAGACACGATTATTGGCCTATTTATCAAGTCTTCATGTTGTTGCCCTGAAGTCGAAGACACAATGAATTTACCAATTATTGTGGCTTTGACTTTCGCATTTTGAGGCAACTACACAACAAAAATAGGGCGCCAACATGAAGACTTCTACCCGCCGACATGATAATTCTGCAGGAGATTTTGTGTCTTCGCCTATCAAAATAATGTTATTTCGCCTAAAATATATCATGTACGCGCCCTCATATAAGTTGAAGGCGGAGACACAATAAGTGAGTATATATCCGTGTCTTGGCCTTCAACTTTTGAGGGGCGCAGACATGAAGTGGCAGAAATCAGCCACCATAATTCACCCTTGAAAAAAAAATTAACTGAACTTTGAGTATATTTCGTAGTTATCAGCATCCCATACATTATTCAACATACAAATTGTTACAGACAATTGCATATTAACTTAATATATTTTATATTGAGAAAGAGCACAGCTTTTGACATGTGTTCATGAAATATGAAAGTAAAACAATTTTTACAACTTTCATCAAATATATGATATTATATGATTGTATGATGGACATTTATAAGGCATACATACCATGTGTATTACAAAATGTATATAAGTATGTCAGTTAAACTAGCAGAAAAAAACAATTATGAAGGTTTGATTTTTCATTACATTATAGAACATGATTTACATCATGTACACCTCAATTAAAATTGCAGAATTGTTGCATAGCAACAAAATCTCTAAATCATCAACATGTGTGACACTGTCTTTTTCCTGTTCATATTGTGATTCTCTGCAGATTGCATTAAAATGTCTCTCCAGTGTAAAATATAAGACTTCTCAGACTGTTTAATTATACCTCCCTACACCAGCAGCCAATAAATCTTGAAATGTCGCCATTTTGGCACTTTACAATGATGTGATACTACTAAACTGATCAATTATTAGGCTAAGCTTATCAAGTTTGTGTAGAAAGTACATTGTTATAGAGCTGTAGTGTTTTTGACATGAAGCTTGCAAACAATGATTAGTCTGAGTCGGACCCTCTATATACATTGTACGTTGTCACAACTTGTGCTTCTTTTTTTCAAAACTTACACTTTCTTGTCTGAGAAAAGTTATTCACACCATATTGTCTTGTCTAATGAAGGCAGACATATCAGACACACTACTGGACTAATTATGTACTTTTATTGTGGTTACAACTTCCTCTTGTTTGTCCCAAGGTTAGTATTGCTTATTCTGCAGAATACGAACCATATAAAACAAAAGTGAATAAAATATATCTTAACACTTGTGGTAAACTCAGGAGCAATTCTCAAAAAGTTTTAGTCATGAATTTCGTGCCATTTGATACAAAGCTCAAAGCTCATGATTTTTAAAATATTTGAACTAATTTACTCAGTTCATATGTCTAAATGAGGGTCAGACCTAACTAGAACTTGAGGTTATCATAGCCATTTCATACCTGACTGATAATTGTACAAAAATGGGCAAAGGAGTAGATTAGCATCAGGCTGTGCTTGCTTTTTGCATGGTTTACAGATACATGAACACTTATTTCTGATCAGTGAAAAATATCATTCTTTTTGGGAGCCATGTCACTCTTCACAGTTTTAGATAACCAGCAGCCAGTATAGTTGGTTTAAAGACAGCATTGGCAACTGAAGGGAAATTCCGGCACAAAATTACTAAGTATCATTCTGCACACTGACAATTTCTCCATAAAACATCATTTTAATAGGCAAAAGTGGCAGAAATACCTGTAACTATTTACCCTCAGAATGATAACCTTTCCATCATGTAGTCATAATACAGAAAATTAAGGTCAAGATTGGGCTTATTTGTATCGCATATGTCAGCCTTCATTAAAGTGAGATTTCTTTGACCATTGAATCATATACACACACATGGACATGAACAATTTACATAAAACTTTCAATGAACAAGATATGTTTGTAAAACATGTAAGCCCCCTATCGGCAGCCAATTTGTCACGTGATCAGGTTATTATGCATGACTTCTGACCCAGTGAACAAGCAATTAATAAGGATTATCTAGTATCTACTGGTCATGACTAGTCACAAGGTAATAATTATTGTGACCCCATAGGTTGTGTGCAGCAATTAAAGTTGTTAAAAATCTTACCAAATAATATATATATAAATTTTATGAATCACATAGGCCTCATTAATGCCAGGCAAGTTGTTATATTACATAAGACCTTCAAATGTGTATACCAAAAGCACATAAAAATATCAACCAAGGCAACTTGAGTTGTTGAGTTATTGGTCAGAAACGGTCATTAAGTACAAGGTCACTATGACATTGGCCCCTTGACCCAAAAATCAATAGGGGTCATCTACTGGTCATGACCAATCATCATACCAAGTTTGAAGTTCCTAGGCCTAAGGGTTCTTTAGTTATTGATCGGAAACCATTTTTACCTACAAGGTCAATGTGACCTTGACCTTTGACCCCAAAATCAATAGGGGTCATCTGCTGGTCATGACCAATCATCATACCAAGTTTGAAGTTCCTAGGACTAAGGGTTCTTTAGTTATTGATCGGAAACCGTTTTAACCTACAAGGTCAATGTGACCTTGACCTTTGACCCCAATATCAATAGGGGTCATCTGCTGGTCATGACCAATCATCATACCAAGTTTGAAATTCCTAGGCCTAAGTGTTCTTTAGCTATTGATCAGAAACCGTTTTAACATACAAGGTCAATGAGACCTTGACCTTCCCCCTTGACCCCAATATCAATAGGGGTCATCTGCTGGTCATGACCAATCATCTTACCAAATTTGAAGTCTCTAGGCCTAAGGGTTCTTTAGTTATTGATCAGAAACCGTTTTTACCTAAAAGGTCAATGTGACCTTGACCTTTGACCCCTTGACCCCACAATCAATAGGGGTCATCTCCTGGTCATGACCAATCATCATACCAAGTTTGTAGTTCCTAGGCCTAAGGGTTCTTCAATTATTGATCAGAAACTGTTTTTACCTACAAGGTCAATGTGACCTTGACCTTTGACCCCTTGACCCCAAAATCAAAAGGGGTCATCTGCTGGTCATGACCAATCATCATACCAAGTTTGAAGTACCTAGGCCTAAGCGTTCTTTAGTTATTGATCGGAAACGGTCTTCAACTTAAAGGTCAATGTGACCTTGACCTTTGACCCCTTGACCCCAAAATCAAAAGGGGTCATCTGCTGGTCATGACCAATCACAATACCAAGTATGAAGTTCCTAGGCCCAAGGGTTTTTTAGTTATTGATCAGAAACCGTTTTTACCTACAAGGTCAATGTGACCTTGACCTTTGACCCCAAAATCAATAGGGGTCATCTGCTGGTCATGACCAATCACCATATCAAGTTTGAAGTTTCTAGGCCTAAGCGTTCTTAAGTTATTGATCGGAAACCGTTTTAACATACAAGGTCAATGTGACCTTGACCTTTGACCCCTTGACCCCAAAATCAATAGGAGTCATCTACTGGTCATGACCAATCACCATACCAAGTTTGAAGATCCTAGGCCTAAGGGTTCTTTAGTTATCACTCGGAAACCATTTGGTCTACGGACCGACAAGTGCAAAGCAATATACCCCCTCTTCTTCGAAGTGGGGGCATAATAATAAAAGGGGACAAAAGCAAATTACCAGCTACGTAACATAATATCATCCATTCTATAGTGGTTGCAGGGGCTCCGCGTAGCTCTGTTTTTGTTTCCTTCACAAATGAAGAGCTCCGGTTGTCTATATTTGGAATTTCTATTCGCTGGGATACAAGGATCAACAAAACTGAAAAAAGATGATTCATATATTCCAGGCTGTTACATTTCTATATTTATTTAGACCGCCAGCTTGACAAAACAACCCTTAACATCTTATACTATTTTTTTCTATTCTTAAAGATATCTATTTCTATATCTCTTTAAATACTTAAATAACTTCTTAAAACCTTTTTATATTCAAAGATAAGTTCTTTTTTTATTTTTAATGTCAATAACTACATAAATGTCTTTTGACGTTATTTTACAAATGACATATGAGCCACTTCATGACAAAACCAACATAATGGGTTTGCGACCAGCATGGATCCAAATCAGCTTGCGAAAGCTGGTCTGAATCCATGCTGGTCGCAAAGCCATCATGTTGGTTTTGTCATGACGCGGCTCATATGATGTTCAGGTTTGTTTTCTCAAGCTAGCGTTCATAAAAAATAAACAAGACGCTTCTTTTATAATATACATGTAATGTGGTGCATAAGTTAATTTTTTTTGTACTTTTATTATTGTTGTTTTCTGTTTAGTCAGAAAGTTATTAAAACAAACAGTGTAATAAAAAACTACAATTATGCACTGACTTGTAATAATTTCTTTAGTTGGTTCAAAATATGGTTTGGTCAAACCAAAACTTTTGAGCTTTAATGATGTAAGGCATCAGCCCTGCTGAATGTGTCAACAGATTGGTCTTATTTCTTAATTCGATCCCATTTCTCCTAACAGACTGTGGTTTACTTTCATAGACTGGTCAAAGAGCACATAATCTAATGCCCTTTTCTTCACAGACTTCTATCAATATAAACATGTACATTAAAGGCAATATAAACATGTACATAAAAGGAACAATCACTAGGAGTCTGTAGAAATGTATGCAGGTAATTTAGACAAGAGAGGCAATGGTCATTGACAGTTTATGCCCTGTATCTTTACACTGTAACAGGAACTATTTTCAATCTCATTTCCTGCTAACATGATTGTGTTATGTATAAATTTACTAGAAATTGGCAGTAATTTTCTGCTATTATCATTGCAAAGTTTGGATAGGTCCATGTGGGATACACTGACCATATTGCTGATATTCAAAGAACGAATGATTGTGAAAAAAGTAGATAAGATATAAATACTGTTCTCTCCAGGGAAAGGGCTTATATATGAATGTAAGATAAATTTCTCCCATACTGACTAAATGAATTAGATAGTAAGCTCTATATTTAATAAGATAACACAAAAATAATCTACTCCAGAAAAGTCAATTGCTAAATTTTATTGAGGCAGATTGAAATCATAAATCAGAGAATATTTTCCCTGATAGTAATGAAGGGTTTCTAATTATAATCATAATTATTCCGTGATGTATTCGTTATCCTCAGTTAAATACACGCATGTACATTATTAGGTTTTCCTTATCAATATTTTACCAATATATAAGGCAAAAATCTGTTTTATCAAATTTCATCAAAGATATTTAGCAAATTATAATCGGCAGTGAACAAAGTCACAAATCAAACAAAAAAGAAGAAAAATTGCAACTTTTATGAAAGAAGATGTTTTATGTAACAATTACATTTTAACAGTTAATTTCAGTCCTGAATTAAAACATATATTTTTTCTTGTGTTTGAAGTGTACAAAGAAGATAAAATTTTTGCATAATTTTATTTTTGACCAGAAAAGTCTAAAGGTGGGGTGGGAAAGTGCTGGCAGGGAGTGTGCTATAGGGTGTGTAGAATAAGAGAAATGCAAGTATTTCATGTGTATCTAAAACAAGAGGGCCAAGATGGCCCTAAATTGCTCACCTGACCCATCAAATTCTTCGACAAGCATCCTGACCAAGTTTCATGACAGCTGAGTCAAAAATGTGACCACTAGAGTTTTAACAAGGATTTTCCATATTTGAGCAATGTGACCTAGTTTTTGACCCAGGTGACCCATATTCAAACTTGACCTAGAAATCATCAAAATAAACTTTCAGACCAATTTTCAGGATATTTGGATCAAAACAGTAGCCACTAGAGTGTAAACAAGATTTTTCTATAATTAGTTCCTGTGACCTAGTTTTTCATCCGAGATTACCCATGTTCTAACTCATCTGAGCAATAACCTAGACAAGCATCCTGACAAATTTTGATGATGATTGAGGCAAAAATATGACCGCTAGAGTGTAAACGAACAAATGTAGACGGACAATGGACATTCAACGATCCTAAAAGCTCACCCTGAGCTATAGCTTACTAGTGAGCTAAAAATCTTGTAAGTAAAGGAGTAAAAGTAAATTATCACTTGCATAATACATAATGTTACAATGGGTTAGCTGTAAATTTCTGATGCGCGAAAGCATTGCTGAACTTTCTGAAAATAGCAATTCAATATAAGGAAATGTATTATAACATTTTCTGATACATGTTTATTTCATGTGTGACATTATGCCTAAGAAATGGATATGTTTTTCCTTCTTGAAAAAAGGCAAACATGAGTTATATAAAGTTGAAATAATGGAGTATGTTTGATGAAGAACTGAACATCTGAACATCTGAAGAATGTAGTGCTGAATGTGAGATTAATAAATGTCATAAAAGAAACAAAATGTAAAACCAAATTAGTTTTTAGATTTCCATACAAAATGCTTAATCACTATGACTGTACTTAATACCAACAAAATTAATGGTGGTTTAATTATGAGTAACTTTTTGAAAAAATATAACAGGAAACCAGAAATAAAAGGCTTTTGAGACATAAAATCAAATCATTTATATGGCATTTTGAACGGGCCTTTCACCAGATATGAGTTAACTAAGAATATGAAATTAATGTGATTATACAGTTTTTTTTAATGTTTATAAAATATTTAATTATTTATACCACTTTATATCTTGTACATGATACTAGATACTTACTTCACAATTGTTCCTACTCTTAAAGCCCTTTCTTAATCATAGTTGAGTTGTTGACACCTTGGACTAGTAATCAAATGATCGCTAGCCACTTGGGTTCAAACCCTGTCAGGAGCAAGCTGTTGTTTTCTTGAGCAAGAAACTTTACACTTATTGTTCAGTACTTGTTTGTTCCAGGAACAGATATGAGAGTGTATCTATAAGCTTATAGCTTCATTACACAATCAAACTATGATAAATTCTGTAGAAACTAAATTAATTAAACGACAAAAAAAATTAGTATAGAATCTTAATTTGTAAATTACAAGAAGATGTTTACTTACCAAGAAACACAATATAAGATGCACTATGACATATAAACTTGATGAACGGTTTACGGATGAGCAAACCAAAACTACTCTTTGGTGCAATAAGGTACGTTATACACAACAACGGGAACATAAACCCTATCGTCATAGTGATCAGGAGCTTACACACAATGTTCCGTCTTCTAAAACCTGGACAACCTTCATACCACAGTGTCGCTAGTAACTGCTGACAGTTTGGATGGGCAACAAACTGGAAAAAAAATTATTTTCATGTAAGAATAAAAGAGAGAGGAGAGAAAAAAAAAGAGAAGAAAACTCTGATAATAGGCAAAAACTTGTTGCATGTTGAAGTCATTTAAATACAGTTGTCTGCAAGCAACTGGAGGGTATAAACACTAATGCACTCATCTCTCTTTTTCTTCACTTTGATGCTGTAAAAACCTCTGCAAAAACTATCATAAAATGCAAATTGATAGAATAAAAATCTTAATGCTTCTACAGGAATGCCACTCAAATGAAAACACTTGCGCGTCTTTCGTGTACAATACTTCATCTGTCTCAGAATCACTGCAAGGTATTCTAAACAGTTACTTTATATTTCTTATTTTCTAACACATGCAGAAACCTTACCTACTATATGCCTTAAATGTACTTCAGTCCAGCTTCCACTTTTAGAACTGCCCATTATCAATTTAGTGAATTTCACAAAGATGGAAACTTGAAGGTATTAGAGCCTGGTCAGACTGCGTGGAAGTGAAAAAACTAATTACTTTTGTCCCCAACAATTAAGATAAAGGATACTTCTCAGTACATTATAATCAAAATAAAATATAAAACATGATTAATGGTTAAGTTGTTGAAATAATGACAATAAAGTTCAAATTTTACTGATGTCATAATCTTGATTTACTGTGCTGTTGCCATGTAACCAAGATAAGCCGGCACCAATCATGGTTTGCACTGTTCGCTACTTAGTCAGTACTTTTGACTTTTTTTCATTTTTTAATCTTCCCTTAAAATGATGAATATTCCATTTATGATATTTAAAATGGTAGGAGTTTAGGTGTGTACAAGCAAGCAACAGCTTTGGTAACTTTTAATATATTGAGCTAGAATAAATAAGTCAAAATCATACGTTCAAATCAAACAAACAAAAAAATGAATATTCAACTTGACCTTGACATTGACCAGCTTTTACCTTTGAGAAGAAATAAATACAAAATGTAAAACAAAGAGTAGGTGAGAATGAATGACTTTGTACTCAACATCTCAAGACAGGAAAAGTTACCAACAGTTCCATGTCATATTTGGCCTGTGGAATGAGGATTCCACTTAGAGGTACAGACTAGATTCTTTCCTAATGGTTAACTACTTTATCACTGGTTCAGAGGTAGGAATAAAATGTGTCTTCTGCTACTTCAAAGTGTCTATACTCAATCATATGGCCACCCACTGGCAGCATAAATCTCCGTTTTCTCAGCTAACAGCAAGGAAGGTACTATAATGAAATACAATTAACACCTCCTGTGTTCCAATAATCTAAATATCACCATGAAAAAACAAACAAATGCATTACAGAAGATAAGGAAAAAAAACACTTTAGCTAATCATCTTCATAAACGTGTGATTAAAAAATAAAGTAAAAGATGAAAGATAACTTCCATTCATAATATGATTTTAATAAGCACAGGTTGTTAATAAAAATAAATGATATAACAGATGTCTGAACTCTGTAGAAATTCTAACATGGCATAGAGGTAAAATAGAATTGCAACATGGCCGAGTGGTTAACACCTGAGATAAGAAATCTAAGCTGCATAGGTTCAAACCTCATCAGAGGCAAGCCATTGTGTCTGTGAGCAAGAAACTTTACACTCATTGCTTTAAGTGCTGATTTGTTGCAGGAACAGAATCAAGAGTGTTTTAATTAGTCTGTTGAACCGGGTGATGCTCCCTGAATTGGTTTTGGACACAGAAAAGTATACCTTTTGTAGTTTCAAAGTTATGTCCCAGACAAAGTTCAAAGTGCAAGAATTCCAAACTTAGTCTAGGCAGAGTAACTGTTCTTTGCACTGCACTTTTACTCATTGAAACCTATATACCTACAAAGTTTCATATTGGTATCGCTTTTAGTTTCAGAGTTATGTCCCAGGAAAGTGTAAAAATGAACAAAGGGCAATAACTCCAAAATTAGGCAAGGCAGAGTTATGGTGTTTGTGCACTGCACAACTACCCAATGAGAACTATCTACCTACAAAGTTTCATAAGGATACCTTTTGTTGTTTCAAAGTTATGTTCCAAGCAAGAAAAAGTGGAAGGACGGACAAAGCGGCGACTATATGTTCCCCTTTGGGAAGCATAAAAAGAACCATTTTTTTCATTGATGCTCTTATAGTGCAACACATACAATAAGCACATTGTTATGCTATGTTCGTATAATGCAAATGACCTCACATCAAAATACATGTTTATGCACACCCGTGCAATACCATTTTTTTATGGAGTCACAAAAGTGGTGCAGATATGAGATAAATGGTAATACTGGTGATTTTTTTTTACAAACTCTTTGCCGACACCTTAGTTGACTGAAATTTTAGCTGAATAGCGTGAGACATTGTGAGCAAATCACAAATAAAAAGTCCATTAAAATCTTCCTTCAATTCTTTTCTAATGCATTCACAATAATTTTTCACAGTTCACTTCTGCTTTAATGAATTTCAAGATTCTTTGTAAAAGACATAAAAGTTTCTCAGAAACATTGGCATTTGTTTTCGTTTTTTGTGTGAAAACAATATGCATCATTGTCTTTTATGTTTTACAAAAGAAACTTTTCATCTTAATGATTTTCTAGCCAATAGCAGAGCATTATGTTACAATGTAGAATAACAATTAAACAACATGAGAATTAACAATTCATTTAACAATAAGTGTGCTGTTAATTTCTCATTAAAGTATTGGCATCAGCTGTATGTATAACAAATAACAGAAATTTTGCTCATTTAACTCTTGTTTTGTTACAGAGCTTTTTTACCATATCATCATGGGGAGGTGTGAAGTTCCATTCCAAATAAGCTCTTTTTTCCCCTGATTTAAAATATTGCCCAACTGCTGCTAAATAAATCAAAACTTTTGAGAAAGATTGAACTGTTGAGATATTTCTCTTCAAAGTCTTCACAGGTGATATGCTCATATGTTCGGGGGCCTCCGTGGCCGAGTGGTTAAGGTCGCTGACTTGAGATCACAGGTCCCTCACCGCTGTAGGTTCGATCCCCACTCGGGTCGAAATCTTTCATGTGAGGAAGCCATCCAGCTGGCTTACGGAAAGTCGGTGGTTCTACCCAGGTGCCCGCTCGTGCCTGAAATAATGCCCGGAGGGGCACCTGGGGTCTTCCTCCACCAATAAAGCTGGAAAAAATCGACGAAAAAATCTCGGCGGGACTCTCTAGGATGGCCCGACTTGAGTGTACGGTTGCCCATATGGGCTTTCCGGCGGCGACCTTAAATAAACGCATTAAAAAAAAAAAAAAAAAATATGTTCATACATATATGTCATACATATAAGAATAAACTTAAAAGCCATGGGTAGTTTTTCAATATTTTTAAGCATCTTGAATTTACCAAAATTGCTGCTTAATTTTCCCCAATGTCAGCCAAGAGCCTTTTCCCAAAGTAGCTGGAAAATACCCTATGTTAGGGCAACTAAAACTGACTCATACTTTAATGCGTATCTGGACTGCCTGGCTTTTAACTTCTGTCTAAAGTGTGGTAGCATGGCTGAGTGGTTTAGTAATCTTATGATCGCTAGCCACATGGGTAAAAACCCCGTCGTTGTTTCCTTGAGCAAGAAACTTTACACTCATTGCTCAGTACTGGTTGGTTCCAGGAACAGATTGGAAAGTGTGTCTATAAGCTTAAAGCTTCCTACCAACCAAACTAAAATATATTCTGTATAAACCAAACTTCTGTCTAAAGACTTACAAAAAGAATGTAATGGTGAATGGTGAAAGTTTGTTTGTTCCGACGGATTAGCTTGGAAAAACCCACATTTGCCGAATTCCGGATAAGTCTAATTGAATACCTGGTCTAGAAGATGTTATCCAAAGCAAAGATTGATGATGCACAATGCAAGACAGACAAAGAGTTGATCATAGACTTACTATGTTCAAGTGAGCTAAAACTTAGAATTCATATTATATGGGCACTGTCAAGAATTCAAACAATCAATCCTCTTGAACGTAACAAGGTAAATATCAGTTTTCAAAAGGAGTGTAATTTTATGGATTGTAGTAACAGCTTTGTGAAAAACATTAATATCATAATTTATTATGGCAAGGAAATTAATATGAGAATCAACAGTTATTATTTCATTCAGATGAAAAAAAAGAAGAAAAGTAACAACTTACCTTTTTCTGTTTGTATTTGACAGCTAGTTTGAGTCTACTGAGTTTCATTTTGTTATCACTGGCAGGAAGTTCCTGGTCATTTCCAGGACATGTTGAATCATGATTCAAAATAATCTCTAATTCCTTTGAGCCACGCGTCTGCTCCAACAAGTCTACAGCGAATTCTTGACACTTTTTGGCAAGTTTTTCATAATCCACCTTAAACTCATTCTCAAGTTTACTTAAACGTTTTAACTCCCAACTCAATTCAAACGATGTAAGGATTGGGTCCTTGCTGGATAGAGCAATTAAAGAAGGGCTGGCAAGTGCCCGATATGCGTTAATTCTTGACCGAGAGTGTCTTAAACTATCTTCACTGCTTTGTGTAACACAATATTTACAATTACATCTCACATCATGAGGTTTGGGTATTCTAAATCCACGATCTAAAAGTATTTTGATGATTTCATAATTGTCCCTGTGAGCAGCGAGGATGATGGGCGTGATATCCGGCGTGAATGAACTAGATGGTGCTGTTTCATGTAGAACCTGAAATCACATTAAATAAAGTAAAAATGTTAGTGGTACTTCGCATCAATATAAAGAAAAACATTCATATATAAATTAATTAATTGTCATAAATCTCTCAAGGTGTATTTCATTCTGAGGGACGGATAATCCGATCCAAACCACAAACATATCAGATATTTTTTCTTGCATATTCTACCATACTCAATTATATGTTAAACTTTTTACATTAATAAACAAATTTTCCATGGAAATTTATGTCATTTCACCCATAACTATTTTCATACAATTTAATAGAGTATGAAAATAATACTTCATTCATAATGATAAAATTATGTCATCATAAGCGTGCCATTGTATAGCATGCGCCTCATCTGGCACACCCCCAATGCCAGATGAAATTTCCGGCATGGGTAAAACGAAAAACGCCAGCCTGATATGCAAGAAAAATTATGTATTTTAAAATATATCATTACCACCAACTACATGTATATTCAACTTGTTTTTGCAATATAACAACTAAACAGAAAATTTATTCAGAAAGAGTAACTTGATACAGAAAAAAAATCTTGCCAATTGTTACTGACTCTGAAAATAACTGGTACATATATGACAGCTGACAAGATTGCTTCAAAGTTTGCCCTGACAAAAAAGCAGTGCAATACAAATGACCCTCTAACAAACAACATTAACCTTATAAACTACTTCAAGTTGGAATTGTTTTTAATACAAATTAGTGCACTTCCTCTATCTTTCTCCAAAGTCCAAGAAGTCTCAAATTTACCTCCCAAGTCAGAAATGTCTCTATTTCATCTCAAAGATTAGAGATATGTTAATTTCATCTCACTTGTTAGGGATATTTGTTTTTTATCAGGAGACACAGAGAAGCTTGTGAAATATTATCACAGTATTAAAATTGACACAATCTTCAAGAAAAACCTACTATGTTTTCATACCAAATATATCAGCAATTCTAAAGTTTAGTTACGATAAATGGCCTTGTGCTTACGTATTTGCTACTGAAACCAAAAATTGTTAGTTTAACTTGTTTTCTGGTGACAATCATGCTTCCTCACATGACCTTAAGTATCAGTTGGTCTATGCCAGCAGATTTTATTTATATATGGAACAGAACAAATTATTTGTATTAATATCACATTCATATTTTTTAATTCTGCATATTTGTAACATCACTTTTCATTGGATGATTGTGATGTACAATTTTGTCATTTTATGAACCTATTTTATTGACAGATTATATGGTTAGAGTTATATGAGCTTACAACCATATATACAGAGTCATATAACCTGTCAATAAATAAATAAATAAATAAACAAACAAACAGATAAGTAAATACATGTAATAAAGTTTAAACAAAGTGGTCATCAATGTTACAGAAATGAAAGCTAAAATGAAAAGTAACATTAGATGTTGTAAAAATGCTATAATGCGTTAATGTCTTCATCAGGGTTAGAAGGAAAAAAAATTGCCAGACACCCAAGAGACAAAGTCAATCTTCTAGTAACAAATACTATCTTGACATTTAAACTGAAATGCAAACCATCTGTTTTGTGTGTTTATGGAATTTCTTTCCAGAGAGAGAACTTGTCAGATACTGTTAGAAATGTTTGTGCAATTAACACCGACTTTTCAGATGAAATCTACCAAACTGTGTCTGAACACAAGCAAAATTAAATGTAGAAAAATAAATAAAGAATAATGGTGTGTGCCTATAGGCTGCTATGGTAGTTATCACCTTCAGCTACAAGTTCCGCAGAGGACCTCTGTATATAGCAGAAGCATGTGTAGGCAACATGAAATATGTTTTATTTTGTTCAATGAGGGTCCATTTTATCTACTGCAAGAGATATGTCCATGGCCTACACTAACATTTGTCATCTTTCTATATTAAACCCTGTCTTGCCTTGATCTTAAATATCTATATATTATACACTTCTACTCTTGAACTTAAATATTTCATTCACATGAATAAAAGAGAAAAATCATAAGTAAAAGAACAAATTTGACAAAACTATCCAGTTGGCAGACTGACAATTTGTCTACAAAGTTTGACTGGTAAGGCCTCAACAGACGGTAGGATTTTGAAGTACACCACCAATTAAAACTAAGGTGTACAGACAAATCTTAATGTGTGAAGGCTACTATTTCTTGATTTCGGAAACCTTATGTCGAGATGTAAGGGATAGGACATGTTCTATTTTGAAAATCTTGTCCTACCGATTTTTACAGACCTCCCACAATGACAAGTAACAGATAAGCAAATTATCTCCTGATAATGGATGTAATGAATGAAATTCCAGAACAATTAGGGCTAAAAGGTAAACATAGTAGTAAGATGGAGTAAAAATGATGTTGAAAAACTCTTCAGGAGACCCATTTAAGTTGTGTTGTGTTCGAATCCCAAATTATTCCGAAAATGATTATGTCAGGGTATTGAGTTGTTCTCTAATTACATGAATTTGGGGAGGGGAGGTAGTTTGTAGGCGGCCACATAGCTTAGTCAGTAGAGCCACAGTACGGTATTCCGAGGGTCCCAGGTTTGAGTCTCGGTCAGGCTTCACATTAAAAAAATATATATATATATTTTTTAAATGGAGGTGATTCAATCATTACTCATGGCGAAAAAAAGTATTAAGTGAGTAAAGTATGTAAAGGATCAATGTAAAGGGATCCTTTTCAGGGGAAACCTCAGAAGATTCTTACAGTATAGAATTACCGTCTGAATGCAAGTGTTGTATAGCTTTGAAAATTGTACATCTTATCTCTAATTAGTGCTGTACAACTAAATCCTACCGTCTGTTGAGGCCTTAACCAGCATTATCAGATGAGACCAACAATATCAGTTACAGCAGACGGTACAACAGGTACAGCAGACGGCACTTTTATCACATATACTGCAATTAAACAGCTACAAGGATTATCATCTTAGGAGTTATGCTAGTTTTATTACCTAGGTAACAACTTCTAGGAATTTCTGTAACCATTTCCAGGCACTCAACTATGATGTAACACTTTATATAGACATTGAAATTTGTTTAAAAGAATAAAAGACCATAACCCTTGTCATTATGTTGACTATTCGAGCATTTGCAGCACATTTGTCGGGCCTATTGTTGTCAGGCCTATCGTTGTCACTTGTACAGTTTACAATGTTGTTCAACATATTTTTTTAATGTAGTTAAACATATTTTTTTAATGTAGTTAAACATATTTTTTTAAGTTTAGCATCTTGTATTAATCACTTTTGAGTCTCCTTCCTGGAACCCAGTACTGGTGTCATATGAAGAAACATGGTAGTGACCCTAGCAGGGCTCGAACCCATGATTCCAGGGTTGAGAGCTGTTGGGGTGATGTGCTGACTGAACATCATAATGTTGGTCAATAAATCTTAAAACCCTTCAAGTAAGCAATAGATCCAAATTTAAATCAGGAAACATCAATAACAGTTTGTGGAGAAATAATGTGCCACATAAAAGCAAGAACTTTCAGCATTCCTTATGTATCAAAACAACAATGGAATCATAACTTAATGCTTCATGCTTTATTTCATTATCCCATTCTTTTGGTAATTAATTTAGGTGGGTCATCAATATAACACAAAGATGTCATCTAAAATACATTAATCATATGCTTCATGGCTATTAATTTTCAATCAGTACTCATTAATATGATATAAAACACTCCTTAACTTATTTCCAGGATATATAAGATAAATATATATATATATAAAAAAATCACAAAATCACTTAAGCCATTGTGAACTATTCTGGAATGTTCTCACATATTGTAACTATCAGTTTAGGTTAATCATCTCTATTTATATAGGAGATAAAATAGGTTATAGAAAGTAAAAGTATCTAGCCAGACACCCTAGAGATTACAACCCAATCATCTTAGTTTAAATGTTTGTCTCTTTCTCTATAACAACTTTTTCTGATCAATCTACCATGTTAACTATCAAGCTATTGAACAAGAAAAGAAAATAGCAGCCCTGACTTTGCTTCAGACCATATAGAATGGACAACAGAACAGTTACTCGGCAAATTTTTCTTGCTGTTATAAGGTTATTATTTAATTAGTTCCTCATGGCTAAGGATTTAAAACCTGTCGAACAAGCCTACAGGGAAGTTTATTGATCTATCAAGGTGTCCAACATTGCCTGATAATTAATTAAGTTTTTAGAAGAAATTATCATGATGAAATCTGGGCAGCAATATCAGCAGATTTCCAAACTTCAACATATTTTTGTATCCTTAAACCTTATCCCTTTCTCTTGTGGCCATGTTTTTCAACAAACACATTTTCCCCCAAAAGAATTCCAAGAAGGTGACATATTTTAGATTTCTGATATTGTTTTGATATTATGGTCTAGACATTTATCTTTAAGGACATTTTAAAAGGCTTCCATCTTTATTGTCATGGCAACAAAAGTAATGTGACATCATCAACCATTTTCTTCAATGTTATCATTTACAAGTCCAACCAGTCTTACAATGTTATAGAATATTTTCTAGATAAATTTAATCATAAAAATCTTAATTTTATATTCCTGACAACATTTGAACAAAGTGCATGATGGAAAATTCTTAGAATAGCCCAAAATCAGGTGCGTTTTTGTAAACATCTTATTTTAATACTGAATTGATTTTCTTAAAATAAGTGCATAAATCAACATTGTCAGACATTCCGCAATAGTTTTCTAAATGACTGTTAAGAAAGTTGTCATTAAATGAATCAGTCTCAGTCTATTTTCAAAATTTTCTGCAGTGAACTTTGACTATTAACCAATGTGAGATTGAAAACAAAAAAGTATATTGACCATATTTATACTAGTTTGGCAGCTTTTATCAAACTGGAATCATAAAATTGAACTTACAACAGTGACAGGCAAGTGGTTGGAGGCCGATAGCTGTTACCAACAGAACCAGAGAACCAAAAATAACTCAATACATAGGCTCTGCCTCTGGTTGGGCTTAGGTAGACTCACACCATAAACGCA